GATGAAGGTTTGACTTGGCTAATGATGACGACCTGACGCGGCTAATGGTGACGACTTGGTTAGGCTAATGGTGACTACTTGACTTGGCTAATGATGACGACTTAGTTAGGCTAATGGTGACTACTTGACTTGGCTAATGATGAAGATTTGACTCGGTTCATGGTGACAACTTGACTCGGGTAATGGTGACGACTTGACTAATGGTGACATCTTGACTCGACTAATGGTGACGACTTGACTCGACTAATGGTGACGACTTGACTCGACTAATGGTGACGACTTGGTTAGGCTAATGGTGACTACTTGACTTGGCTAATGATGAAGATTTGACTCGGTTCATGGTGACAACTTGACTCGGGTAATGGTGAAAACTTGACTAATGGTGACATCTTGACTCGACTAATGGTGACGACTTGACTCGGGTAATGGTGACAACTTGACTAATGGTGACATCTTGACTCGACTAATGGTGACGACTTGACTCGACTAATGGTGACGACTTGACTCGGTTAATAGTGACGACTTGACTCGGCTAATGGTGACGACTTGACTCGACTAATGGTGAAAACTTGACTTGGCGAGTGATGCAGCAGCGACTCATGGTGTTCGGTGAATGTCCAGTAGTGCTGGGACGGGTCCAAATTTCCCACCCGGGTATCCGAGCCCCTATTACCCAACCCGACCAGGGTACCTGTTATAACACTATATATAAATTGCGAGTTATTCCCCTTCAATAAATTCAGTCATTGCCGAGATTAAGAATCCGTCGCATCAGGCACAAAGAGAAAATGCATTTTGTGCTCAGTGCAGCTAAGTCACAAAGGAGGGGGTACGTCATCGATGTGGAAACATCTGGACAACGAACATCTCTCCGTAACAAACCAGGAGCTACAAACAACTGCCGTTCCGACAACCTACAGGCAAAATACAATTGAAGGTACGAATAAAAAGTGTATGCCATTAAGCTTACAAGTAGACAACGTCATGTAAAACAAGTTGACCACAGCGGGTCCGCGTAATGTGATGGGTACCCGGGTGCAGCTCTTTATCCACCCGTCCCGGGTATCCGGGTTACCCGTCCCAGCCCTAATGTCCAGTGACTGACATTTCGGCTGGACCCTCGGCGTGACGATTGTCATTCAGCCAAACTCCATGCGACCTGGTCATGCGTTGTTCCTTGAAATATCATACTAACGATGTGTTCTCTCACGTATATGTCACTGTCCTACGGTTTGGTGTGAATATACTGTACATTGGTCCTTTGATACCCCTATCTGTGTAGGGTCTTGGCCGGCCAGCGCACGTTTCACTTCAGTCTCAAGCTCCACTCACTTGGCTCATTACTCGCCAAATTGGTTTGGTCGTATTTGGGTTATGTGTGGCTTGTGTCGGGTTGGTTTAGGTTATGTGTGGGTTGTGTTTGGGTTATGTCTGGGCTGTGTCGGGTTGGTTGTGTTGTGTTTGGGTTATGTGTGGGTTGTGTCTCGTTGGTTTGGTTTGGGTTGTGTCGGGTTGGTTTGGTTTGGTTGTGTTTGGGTTGTGTCGGGTTGGTTTGGTTGTGTTTGGGTTGTGTCGGGTTGGTTTGGGCTGTGTCGGGTTGGTTTGGTTGTGTTTGGGTTGTGTCGGGTTGGTTTGGGTTATGTGTGGGTTGGTCGTATTTGGGTTATGTGTGGGTTGTGTCGAGTTGGTTTGGTCGTATAATTTGGGTTATGTGTGGGTTGTGTCGGGTTGGTTTGGTTGTGTTTGGGTTATTGATTCTCAATTATTTTATATACAATTCTGGGTTTGGACCGAATAGTTCGATTATCAGTATGGTACCGTTTGTTTTGTTTTGAGTTTACATGAGAACCTGTTTTGTTTATGTCCATCATCCGCAATTTTTATAATTGAAAATAACATTCCTCCAGCAGTTGTGAGTACAACCTGTCAAGTTGACTAGTTTACTGTCCATTCGATCAAAACTCACTCTGGTACTCATGTTAGTGTATAAAATGGCCTACTGTATAAATGTATACATTGTACTGCTTTTTCATTTATATGTTTTAAAATAACCTACATGGACACAGTTATATTTCAATAAACAGTTAGAAAAGTGTCGTTTTTTCATGGGTAAATTTTGAAACGTGATATGAAAAAAAACCTAGCTCTCATATACAATCACAAAAATCTCAACGACGTACAATATAAATAATCTCAACCAATGAAACAAAGCACACTCTACCCACGTACTCCTTACCCTCAACCCCCAAATCCCACTGATATCAAACGGTCCGCACTTAGTGTGCTACTGAACTTCCGTGACGTCCCCTGCCTGTCACAGACTGCACAGCACCACTTGACATGTGCATATCCCCGACTTTCCGTCACTCATGGGACTACCGGATCTGCAAACAAATTCAGTTCAAAGATAACATCAAGACAAGTGGTTTCCTGTGCAGCCGATACGTTTAGGTTCGTTTTGCAACGCCACTTGAACAACGTCATTGCTTTTTATAAACGGTATCCCATAGCGAGAACTAAAGTCTTCTTTTTAAACATCTACGTTAATTTCTTATTTCACTCGACGCAAAATACTGTGTCCTGCAGTTACTGAAAATGGCCGTCTATAAGTTTTCAATGGCATGAAGCTTGCAGATCGCACTGAAACAAATTCGGGCGTAACCATGGTTGCAAACATAAACACAATACATCCTGTCCATTTCACTATATTCAGCCAGTCTTGGAATTTTGCTTCAAACAAATATTCCCCATCTCTTACATAAACATTTATACGGGGCGGTGGAGTAGCTTGGTTGTTAAAGCGTTGGCTCGTCACGCCGAAGACCTGGGTTCGAGTCCCCACATGGGTACAATGTGTGAAGCCCATTTCTGGTGTCCCCCGCCGTGATGTTGCTGGAATATTGCTGAAAGCGGCGTAAAACCCGACTCACTCACTCACATAAACATATACAGATACTTAAAAGAGATCGGACAGTTTCGGGCTGGAAGTAACCCACATTTGTCGTAAGAGGCGACTGCCCGGATCGGGTGGTCTGGCTCGCTGACTTGGTTGACACGTGTCATCGTATCCCAACTGCTAAGATCGATGCTGATGATATCAATCACTGGATTGTTTGGTCCATGCAGACCATCACATGCCGCCGTCGAACAGCTAGAATATTGATGGGCACGGCGTTAAACTTAAATTAGATATTTGTTTTGTACATATCATTTTGATCACATTTGGCCACCCCTTTTTTCTCTCTGAAATTGTAGGAGGCTATTGTTGATTGTTTAATATACACAATGTAAACCTTTTCATTGCGTTTTACAGTATTTTACAGTGTAAATCAGATGTGGCAAATCTGTCAGTTAACTGAATCTAATGTTCTCTATGCTTTAAATTATAACATACTAGTGTATGTTCGACTCTATCGTTTATGACAAGGCTGGCTCATAAGTTACAACAGTTCACCCTTGTTTGAGCATTTAAACGAACAAAAAGACCTTTTATGTTATATCAATTAATATGTCTATAATTTGCGATTACTCTTCTAAATAGACGTCTGTGATGATATCATATCCGATAACTCAAGATAAAAGCGGTTTTGCAATGGTTTCTATCAAAACTTTTCATCAGTCGTTTTTTTCAATTCAACATAACACACAAAACATAAAACTACGCATTCTTCAGTGATACATGCATTATCAAAATTGTAATTTTCGTATTATCTCAGGATTTGTGAAATCAGTGTCATGGTAACCCGCCAGGTTTTTATAAAGAATATTTGTGTGCACGTACCACACTGAAACAGACATAAGACCCCCTGGCTTGTCGAGGGAGATCGTTTTTAGCGCACGAATGAAGCTTGCTCTGAAATATTGATTTGACATAAAATCATACTCTTGAATAAGCAGGGCCGGCCTTGTAGCACTGTATGCGAGCAAGTCGATGTTCGACTTTTACGAACAAATTAGCGGGTCTCACCCTTCAGGGCCTGCTATTTTATACCTTCTGATGAGGTATGCCGACATAATCTAAATAACCCACGTACGCACACACACACACGCCGGGATTATATTTCGAGGTTTATCAGCGCCATGTCGTTGGTTTCACCATCGTTGTTAACGTCTAACGTGATTAATATATACAGTTTTTCACTGAAGATATATATAAACTGACGGACAAAACAAATTAAACACCTTTGTTAGATGTTGGCTACAAATGAAATGAACGAGAAATACTTTTTTGATGATTATGTATTTGAATACAATTGTGTTTGGGGTCTGAAGTTGGCAGTGCTTTGGAGACTGTTCGTCTCATAACGTCTTGGTGACGTAATGTTTTGGTCAATTACAATATTCAAGTGTATTTTTTCTTTTGCTGCCGGTTTCTGTACTATCTTAAAGTAATACTGATAACACTACATTATATATATTTCGGACTCATATTTCTACTCAAGTTTCGCGCTGACAACCCTGTGGAAAGCAAAACTTTATTATTAAATATGTTATTAATTTGACGAGTCACTGTAACGGTTGTGTACATATCTGGCCACGAACTGATTTACTAAGGAATTACAATTCTCACTTGAAATGTTATAATAAATCTTCGAGTTCACATCCCTCTGGCGGGGACACAAAACTTTATTAGCCAACTACTAGTATTCTTTTGGAAGTGGAACGGCACATGTCTAGCACAGACTAAACTAAGGCAATTGCAAGAGCCTAACGTTCGCATTTGATAAAAATGTCAATTGATACGTGACAATTTTCATTCAACAGAATTACATCGATCATGATTACAAATTCTATTACTACTATTACTACTACTACTACTACTACTACTACTATTACTACTACTACTACTACTACTACTACTACTACTACTACTACTACTACTACTGTCACCAACATCACGACGACGAGCCACATTCACTATACATCCGCCTTTTCTGATACTATATCAAGTATTAACATTGTGCATTGATCGTTAAAGAAGATATAAATGCTTATCCTCATTTTCTTGACAAACGCAAAGTTTCATTTTATCCAATCATATGCCCGAGCCGGTCGTTGCTTCGGATCCACGATCACGTGATTAACCCGGAAGTTAAATCAAGGGGAGGAGGAAGTGCACGGAAAGAGGGTTACACATTGCCTTATCGGTATTTAAACTTCATTTTATTTATCAAAACCTTGTAATTGTTTGCTAATTATGCTGTTATATACACGTATATTTTGTTGTAGCTGTTTCACTAATTTGTTTTTAATTTTGAGGGTTGTTCTGGACGTGGGACTTTGTTATGGTGGAAATAAGGAAGCACTTGTCCGACTCACAATTCTGACATTTCCACTCCTCATAAGTCATAGATTATCGCACGTGAATCATCCTTAGGGTAACAATACGGTTTCACTTGTGGAAGTAGGGCATTGTTTAACAACAACTAAATTGTGATTAAAAGTTGATATTATAGTAATTATGCTTTTAATATCAGTGTATGGTTGCACCTCAACAAATCACCATGTTTTAATGATTTCCTAATATTTCCTTAAAAATCTGCCGTTGTGGATTGAATGGTTTACAGCACAGTTCTTCATCTCTGATAGACATTCCAAGAAAAATCTATTCCAATAAAGCATCAATATATATCCATAACTTAAATCATGTTGATCACTTATCTGTTACCTGATATTAATTTTAAATCATTTGGCCTTATTGGCCTTATTATTACAATGCCGACCGGTAATTAGATCCTGCATGGAAAATGTGTTGGTGCATATAATGTTGCCTATTAACTAAATTATGTACATTGTAAATTCATGCACCAATATTGCTGTCAGGGTGTTCAATTGGGCATGAGCGGCCTTGCCATCAGGCATGGCTGAGGTGCATGTAGAGTTTACTCTGCAAAGTACCTCTTATCTTTGTTGTTCTAGGATCAACAAGTTGGGTTTGAATGCAATATGTGCTTCCCTTTAGTCTTCCATCCCAATTCAAGCTTAAATGTAACTACACGTTATAACTTAAATAGAAGACAAAGCAGTGTTAAATTAAAACAAACTCCCTCACTAATGATGTTCCCTTACATCTATTATACTGAAATATAAGTAAAAATGAAATGTTCCAAGGCAACACACAGGTAATGTAACTTGATTAACAAGAAGCTGAGGATTGTTGGCTTTGTGTGGCTAGATCAAGGGCACGTAGTGTATGTTTTAACTTCATCATGTCCTGGTTGTGCTGTTGTCAGATCATGTGGAAGGCTGCAGCTGGGAAAAATGTGCAGGTCAATGTGGCGGATGATGATGACTGGGAGACAGACCCTGACTTTGTGGTGAGTCATTGTTGGTATTAATGATAGATGCAGACTTTGTGTTAATAGATATGGGCATATATGGTGTTTGTTGTCCATCAGACTGGATAATATCTGGTATTATTTGTAGAAATGTCAGGGCAACCTGTTGTGACAATGTAATGGTTTACATTCACTCTTATCAGCTGACTACGAAAAGCTTTGGCATTGTCACTTTTACTAGTCAGGTAACTTCTTGCATAATCAGAAACCATGGCAACAACAATGACAAAAACTATGCATGTGATCTTTAGTTTGACATTTTCTCCCCAGAATGACGTAAGTGAGCAGGAGCAGAGATGGGGTGCAAAGACGGTGGAAGGGTCCGGACACCAAGAGTCCTTGGAGTGAGTAAGAAGGGAATTGTTAAACAGATAGGCGCATGTGCTGTAATCTGTTGTTGAGAGGGATTCTGAACTTGAATAGTGTGTTTTATATTCACCAAGTTTGCCGAGTAGACCATTTCATGATTTTGTTTACTATCGTGCCCAAATTTAGATATATGGCGTTCAGCTTGGCAATAGAAACATCACAACACCATGTATCCCATGTTGCATATGATCCTGTTTGACTACTACTGCTACTAATACTATTAATACTATGGTGGGGTAGCCTAGTGGTTTAAGTGCTCACTCATAATGCTGAAGTCCCGAGTTTGATTCCCCATAGTGGTACAACAAAGTGTGCAGCCTATTCCTGGTGTCCTCTGCTGTTATGTTACTGGAATAATGCCAATCTGTGTAAAACTATACTCACTGCTACTACAGTCAGGCCGCGTTAATCCGAACACTTACGTTTTTTATCAAAACCATTCGGATAGTGAAACGTATGGACTACTGACACGAACCATTATGTACACCACTACATTAGAGTTACTTCCCCTTGACATACCAAGACAAGAGCAGAACGTATACGAGGTTTTGATGGTGCCAGTTGCGTTTGCACAATGAGACTTAATGATAGATTAAAATCACAAACTAACGACATGTTCAACACAGAAGTGTCACCTCACTTATCAATTACCATTGAAGTTTACCGGTGAAGATCAGCGCTAATCAATGGTGCTCACGAGGTAAGTGGATTATCCAAACCTTTTTGACGTACCGCTGGATTAATGAAGCAAAACCAAGCGTAATTAGCTTATACGGTACCGCTAATTAACGTTCAGATACGGAGAGTGAAGCACAGAATTAATGAATCAACAGTTAATGAGTTTACATAGTAAAGAAGACTGGTTACAGCTAGTTACTGTTCAGATATGGCGGGAATCGGATTATCGGGGGCCGGACTAACGCGTCCTGACTGTACAAGTAGATTTGTATCCACTCTCACACTCTGTCACCCATGTTGACAAAGGTAGACAATACCATCAACAGTCTATAAACTCTTTTGTCTTGTTCAGCTTGAAGAAACTGAGACAGGAGGTACAGCATGATGACAAAACTGTGAAGAAAGCAGAGTTTGAGAAAGGGCCCGAAGGCATCATACGGATATGGTGGATCATTTGGAGTGCAGGAAGACAGGATGGACAAGGTATGCTGGGAAATTTGAGAGTTGAGTTGGAAATGGAAAGAGCAGAATTTGACCTTGACTTTGTTGGTATATATTTCTTGGGAATATCAAGATATTCCTCGGTCGGATATACACGGTCCTCTCCTGTCACACCGAAAAAACATTGAACAGGTACAGTTAAGTGATGGTCTGGATGGTGTAGTTGTGGAGATCTATGATAAAGAGGATTAGTCTTAGGCACTGTCCTTCTCTGTGGTTGTTCCCCTTTGATGCTGCAGGATGTCATCCATTCTTCCAGTGATTTATCTGGGATTCTAAACAGGATTCTAAGCCTCTCACTCTTTTGTGGTACTGTTATTATTCAAATACAAGTTTCTGTAAAAGCCATAACATTTCTTTACTGTATGAATATGAACATGTACTGGAAAATTTGTAATTCCAGTTTGGGAATTGCTACAGCCATTTGTTCCGACACTGGGCCAAATATTGACCTTGGAGCAGATCTAACAAAAAAATACCCTTCACCAATGTGATACACCAACTACATCTCAGATATTCCAGACACAATATTTTTGAAAGCAGAATTAAATCACTACTCGTACACCCCTAAAGTGTGTTCAATGATATTTTGTTCCCTGTTTTGTCCATAGTCTGCTGTGGGCCATGACTACCAAGAGAAGCTGTCCAAGCACGCTAGCCAGACAGACGCTGCCAAGGGGTTTGGTGGCAAGTATGGTGTCCAGACTGACCGGAAGGACCAGGTTTGTGCAGATGCTTGTCAACTTTGTATATCACTGTCAAACACATAAAGCCACCATATAGTTGGAACTTTACTGATTGCTGCGTTAAACAACGTACAATGCAATCATATTAAATCAAAGTAGATTGTGTGAATGATGTTTGAACGAAAAGAAGAAAGATTTAATTTTTGACTCAATTAGTTTTTATTTACAGACACAATGCACAGAGTCATTTCTTTATTCATGGGCCACTTCTAAATCATGTACAGAACAGGCAGACAGCCAACCTTTAGAGAATAACCCACGAGGTACGAGTGATTAGGTGAAATATGTCCCGAGTGAAATTAATGTTCACTGTCCCGAGCTTTAGCGAGGGACTTGAACATTAATTTCTCGAGGGACATATTTCACGCAATCACTCGTACCTTGTGGGTTATTGTTTTTATTACCCATTCTGTAATTGAACTGAGAAACCAGTACTTATGAACTCAAAGCCGCACCTTGTTATGTGTTTACAACGTGATCAGCTGATCCGTATTAATGCGCAGAGGAAACCAAACGGCTCACGCCTAATGGAATCGCATACGAGCCCCAATATAGTACTGTAGAAAACGGTATGAAAAACAACACAATTCCTTTTTCTCAAAATCCGTTTCATGACGATTTTATTACCCACACACCCCTGAAAAGATTAAGTTTATTTTTAACGAGTACACTCGCATATTTAATATTTAGTCGTAGATCGCAAATGTGTAGCCTAGATCTACTCGTGACAGAAAGTGGGTGGCTGTGGTTGGATACAAAACAGCAAAAACCTGTCAATTTTTTTCAACGTTAACTGATACAACAGTGAAAATCTGCAAGAGAAGAATAAAACGCAGCAATGGTGAACTTTTTTCTAAGAAGACGGTTCACAATTATTAACGTTTGTCAACATTTTGACTTTGACCTAGTTTTGGCTCGCGTCAGTGTCCTTGTCAGGAACGATAACTCCAACTTTAGTCCGAGTCCGAGTCGACAACAGGCAAAATACGCCTTTTCGGTGCAGGTGGTTGGTTGAAAGAAGAATCATTTGAAATAGTGAAGTTGAATACTCCACCGTAAATTGGACCAGAAAAAAGAGTATGAACAGCATGGATATCATGGGAAACTGAATTCATCTGGGACATGACTGATAGGGACTGATTCGACTGAGGCTTTGGTGCATTTTGTAGGCAAGGGAGAGACAGGCCTGTGTCACGTGGTGTGGAATCACAGTTGGACGACAGAAGTCTGTTGATGTTTTGGTGTTGTTTTTCATTCATTGTGGAATAACTGTTGATGGATTGAACGTTTTTGTGCCCTGACACTTGCATGATCTGGTGAGCTTTGTCAGACAAAGTTTGAATCATGCGTTTCCTGGCGCTATGGTTTGTCAACCGTTTGTCATTAGAAAGCCCTGCTTTACTTGCCATTGTTTTCATCAGAGATCCCAGTTTATTTCTGCCAACCGGTTGACGTTTAAACCAAGTATTCCCGGTTCGTACCCCAAACTGGGTGTTTGTTGCCAAATAGAATGGATGATCATCATTGGAGAAGTTTAGTGGTCTCAAGGCACGGTACGACTTGTTAACAGCGACTGGACAACACAGATCCCCAGGTTGTGTCCATGCTTTAGGAGCAAGATCGCGAGACTGGTCACCCTGACGGGTTTTGACTGCCGTTCAATATACTGGAGATATTCTCGGTTCTCTGAATCAACTTTTAGTGTTACATCACCCCATTGCATACGCCTGTGCGGGGTCGCCGATCTCAAGCCAAAATAAACTGTGTTGTTCCACTATAATGTGTTTAAAATGGAATCTGGCGTGCTGGTGCCTAGTTGGCCACATTCACGGAGTTTCTGTTATTCAGTGTCGGATACAGAATCAGCACGGAATGGTAGGTTTCCTTTACCTTGTTTTTTTAATGACTTGAGTTTTGATTTCAAAACCTCCCTCAGTTTCATGAAATGCATTGACTCGGCTAACACATGTGAGTACCCATTACGCTTCAAATAGCGTTCAACGCTACCCTATATTCCCCGGGGGAAGATGGTTCATACTCCGAACCATCAGATTTTCTTGCCGATATGAAAAATTTACACAGGATAGTGTTCAGTTCATGGGTGGCAATGTCTTCAAGTTGTCTTGGATCATTAAGACTCTTGCGAAGAAATCTATAAACAAGATTCATGTCCAATTTTGTCTTTTTCATTGTGTTTTCGTTTTCGTTCGCAGCCAAGAAGTTATCAATGTCATGGTCATAAACAGGAACAAACCTGTCAAAAGTTTTGTTTTCAATTGGGGGGTAAAAAAAATCATCTTGTAGCAAGTCATTTATGACACTCTGGGGCAGGTGGGGACTTTGGTGAGAAGCTGACTCGCTCGAGATTGTTTCCGGCAACACTTTCAGTCTGTACCTTGCAACTTGCATTTCTCCATATTCCGTGTTTATCACATACACGTGAAAGGAATTAAGCGGTTGTGTTATTCTTGTTACACGTCCTGTAATGTCTCCGTCCACCTTGACCAGGTCATTGACTTTGATTGGCATTAACTGGGTAGCCATGTTTGTTTACAAAGATGACTTTATGATTATCAATTTTAGACATTTTTTTATTACAAAACATGTTAAGTAGACGACGCTGTATTGTTAATGAAGTATGAAATAAAACATTAAATTAGCATCAAAATCGAAATCCTGTATGTTGTTTTTGTTCTGTTTTTACATCTCGAATAAGTGCGATTACATCACGGTCAATTTATCAATGAATCGATGAAACTTTATGAATGAACGTAGTGTGTGAAAGTAGTTCCGGCATCCAATGAAACTGTACAAATATACGATCAACCAATCAACGTCGAGAATCACTAAATTGCACACTGTGCAAATATCAAAAAGATATTACACGGGATCTCCTCACCCGTATGGGTAATAATAACATAATAACCCCCTAATCATTATAGTCAGTGTGTGCATGAAGATGTGAAATAGTACTGGCAATCCATGTATCAGAGAGGTCATATTTAGAAATTGTTCAAAAGTGATCGACATATTTCATGTCACTGGTGAGCGGCGACACATTATGCAAGGATTAATAACAAAAACAGCAAATCGAATCTAATGTAGTCTTTCAGTGGCATTTAGAAGTTGTACATTGATGTCCAAGATATTTTTATGGATTAAACTTCTTTGTAATTTCTCTCACGACGTTTCGAGACCATTCCAGGTCCCTTCATCAGGTGAACTGGCAGTTAGGACTATGACGTCGTCACTATGACATCATAACTGGGTTTTGACGTGACAATGCAAGTGACATCACAGTACACTACTATTCTTTTTGGAAAGCCTGCTATCAAGTAACTTTTGTGTAATTAGCAGTTGTTGTGTATTGACAATTCAACTTTCAACTCTATTATTTAGCATGAATTTTCAAACTCACTTATACAGTACTCTCCCTAGTGTACTGTGATGTCACTTGCATTAGTCCTAACTGCCAGTTCACCTGATGAAGGGACCTGGAATGGTCTCGAAACGTCGTGAGATAAATTACAAAGAAGTTTAATCCATAAAAATATCTTGGGAATCTAATGTACTTTTAAAAATGTTTTAAAAAAGGCATACCGGGTTCTGACAGTTTACAGTCCATATGACATTGCAGGAGACCCTGAAATGTTAACAGGAATACTTGGGTGGCTAATGGCAAATGGGGATTGGTCATCTTCACAAAGTCGTAACTCTATTGACCCATGCTCCCACGGCTAATGACAGCCTCTGTGGTCTACTGGATAAAACGTCTACTTGTCTCACCAATAGAGGTTAAAAGGTGGTATTTGTTGTTGCCCTGTCTGGCACTATTAACGTGATTAAGGGATGAAACGGGTCTGGTCGGCTTTAAGTCTGATTTCAACTTAATTGAATTTTGGTGTGAGGTAGCTCTACAAACTGGAAATGGTTTTGACAAGTATTATAAGCCCACTTCCTTAAACAAGCGTAAATCTATTTCGGTGTGAAAGTGTAATAATCGTGAGTGCACCATTTTCACCATCTAGTCTCACATGCCCTCAGTGAGATTGTGTTGATCTTGTGTTTCAGTCTGCAGTGGGATATGAATATGAGGGTAAAACTGAGAAACATGCATCAGCCAAAGGTAGGTATCAGTTTAAGTTCTTGAAGGTTCATGGAAAATTGAAACAGTTATCTACTTTTTCAGCATATGTCTGTCCTATTTACTACCTTTGCTTTTGTGCCCTTTTGAGTGCCTGAAACTGTTCATTATGTGCTCAAAATCCCATTTTCACCTCATTTACACAATTATCTGATCGTAATATAAAGTTTATTGGACTCTGTCCTGCTATGAATGGTTCAGTGTACTGTCTAGATGTGGTTAAGTTTAGGTCTACATACTGTTGGTCACTCACCGTCCACCCAATGCCCACCTACACACTCCCCCACTCACCCCCTAACTCACTTGTTCACCCATGAAGATCCAGATTAGAATTGGTCTTCAGCAACCCATACTTGACCAATGGTATCGGGATCGGACGGTAAGGCTCACTGATTTGGTATTCCAATTTCGAAGATAGATGCTCTTTGTAGTGATCACTGGATTGTATTGTCTGGTCCCAACTGCTGTCATAAAGCTGGAATATAGCGGAGTGTGTTGTTTAAACGAGATCACACTCACTCACTCACTCACTCACTCACTCACTCACTCACTCACTCACTCACTCACTCACTCACCCCTTGATGTTTCAGATCACTCTAAAGGGTTTGGAGGGAAGTTTGGTGTACAGAAAGACAGACAGGACAAGTCCGCTTTGGGCTGGGACCACCAAGAGAAGCTGGGGAAACATGAGTCACAGACAGGTGAGATGACAAAAGATATAAAATATATGTACAACATGTAATGCTTGGTGACTGCTTGTCATGTAGCTGCATCAGTCTCCTTGACATGCAAGAAGCAAATTATATTTTTAGTGGGCAAGTTGAAACAATATATCTTTTGGTGTTTGATGTCACTATGACCTTAGACCTTATGTACTACTTTTTATTTAATTTTTGGGAAATTTTAAATATACATGTCAATGGTACCATAGTTCCAGTGCCCATAGCAACTATGTTTTGCAAGTATAATGTACTGCTTAAAAATGTCAACGGCCATTCATATGACAGCATGCCTAATCAACTGTAATAATAATGGCAATATGGAACAATCTGAGGATCCTCAGTTTGATTTCAGGTGCATATTGGGTATTCATTCTGCTTTTGACATATACTTCCTTTCAAAAGTTTAGATTCACTTTAAACACTCACTGTATGTTATTGATATATATTTTGTTACATCAAAGATTGATTTCTCAACTAACTTGGGAGAACCAACTGCAAAGCTTATGCAGATGAACTGCACAAGGATCATGCATCAAATTGCTGAAAAGCATGTGCAAATATGGTGCATGTGAACAGCTGCGTTTTGGTGTAAAGTTTTGTTAAGAATTTGCCAATTTTCACTGGATTTTATCATTTATTGAACTCATGACAATAATCTTTTCAACTGAATTTGTTTTACAATACATCAGTTTATGTGTTGACAGTACTTAAACAGTAAGGAATCCTTTGCAAAATTTAGTTTAGAACAGTTGCCTGAAGTAAGTGGCTATATTTACACTAATGAGTCTAATCTTTTGAAAGTATATGTTCAAGAAATGTTTGAGCAATTTTCAGAGCCTTATGGCTAGATATTTTGCTGATAATTGATAACGTCTAATGTTCTCAATCCAGATTACTCCAAGGGTTTTGGTGGCAAGTTTGGAATCCAGAAAGACAGACAGGATAAGTCAGCTGTGGGCTGGGAACACAAAGAGAAGGTGGAGAAACATGGCTCACAGACAGGTGAGACTAGTAGGGATTGTCCATGGGGGGAAGCATGGCTCACAGACAGGTGAGACTAGTAGGGATTATCCATGGGGGGAAGCATGGCTCACAGACAGGTGAGACTAGTAGGGATTATCCTTGGGGGAAGCATGGCTCATAGACAGGTGAGACTAGTAGGGATTATCCTTGGGGGAAGCATGGCTCGTATACAGGTGAGACTAGTAGGGATTATCCATGGGGAAGCATGGCTCACAGACAGGTGAGACTAGTAGGGATTATCCTTGGGGGGAAGCATGGCTCACAGACAGGTGAGACTAGTAGGGATTATCCATGGGGGAAGCATGGCTCACATATACAGGTGAGACTAGTAGGGATTATCCTTGGGGGAAGCATGGCTCTGTATACAGGTGAGACTAGTAGGGATTGTCCATGGGGGGAAGCATGGCACAGACAGGTGAGACTAGTAGGGATTATCCTTGGGGGAAGCATGGCTCGTATACAGGTGAGACTAGTAGGGATTGTCCATGGGGGAAGCATGGCTCACAGACAGGTGAGATTAGTAGGGATTATCCTTGGGGGGAAGCATGGCTCATATACAGGTGAGACTAGTAGGGTTGTCCATGGGGGGAAGCATGGCTCGTATACAGGTGAGACTAGTAGGGATTGTCCATGGGGGGAAGCATGGCTCACAGACAGGTGAGACTAGTAGGGGTTGTCCATGGGGGGAAGCATGGCTCACAGACAGGTGAGACTAGTAGGGATTATCCATGGGGAAGCATGACAGGTGAGACAGTAGACAGGTGAGACTAGTAGGGATTGTCCATGGGGGAAGCATGGCTCGTATACAGGTGAGACTAGTAGGGATTGTCCATGGGGGTTGGCTCCAGACTAGTAGGGATTGGGGAAGCATGGCTCACAGACAGGTGAGACTAGTAGGGATTATCCTTGGGGGAGCATGGCTGGCAGGTGAGACTAGTAGGGATTGTCCATACAGGTGAGAGGTGAGACTAGTAGGGGTTGTCCATGGGGGGAAGCATGGCTCGTATACAGGTGAGACTAGTAGGGATTGTCCATGGGGGGAAGCATGGCTCACAGACAGGTGAGATTAGTAGGGATTATCCTTGGGGGGAAGCGTGGCTCATATACAGGTGAGACTAGTAGGGGTTGTCCATGGGGGGAAGCATGGCTCGTATACAGGTGAGACTAGTAGGGATTGTCCATGGGGGGAAGCATGGCTCACAGACAGGTGAGACTAGTAGGGGTTGTCCATGGGGGGAAGCGTGGCTCACAGACAGGTGAGACTAGTAGGGATTATCCTTGGGGGGAAGCGTGGCTCGTATACAGGTGAGACTAGTAGGGGTTGTCCATGGGGGAAGCATGGCTGAGATACAGGTGAGACTAGTAGGGTTGTCCATGGGGAAGCATGGCTCAGTATACAGGTGAGACTAGTAGGGATTGTCCATGGGGAAGCATGGCTCAGTATACAGGTGAGACTAGTAGGGATTGTCCATGGGGGAAGCATGGCTCAGTATACAGGTGAGACTAGTAGGGGTTGTCCATGGGGGGGAAGCATGGCTCACAGTGTACAGGTGAGACTAGTAGGGATTGTCCATGGGGGGAAGCATGGCTCGTATACAGGTGAGACTAGTAGGGATTGTCCATGGGGGGAAGCATGGCTCGTATACAGGTGAGACTAGTAGGGGTTGTCCATGGGGGGAAGCATGGCTCGTATACAGGTGAGACTAGTAGGGATTGTCCATGGGGGAAGCATGGCTCACAGACAGGTGAGACTAGTAGGGATTATCCTTGGGGAAGCATGGCTCGTATACAGGTGAGACTAGTAGGGACTATCTTTGGGGGAAGCATGGCTCGGAGACAGGTGATAGCGACTCACACTTATTGCCTTGATTGCCACTCTCACTTATGGCCTTGATTGATGCTCACACTTATTGCCTTGATTGCCACTCACACTTATGGCCTATATAGCCACTCACACATATGGTCTTGATAGCCACTTACACATATGGCCTTGATTAATGCTTATACTTATGACATTGATAGCCACTCACATTTATGGCCTTGATAGCCACTCACACATATGACCTTGATTAATGCTCACACATATGGCCTTGTTTCCCGCTCACACTTATGGCACATACATATATCACACATACCCAGGTAGCATGCCATCATCGGCCCGACATTGGCCCGGCGTCGTGTGCATTATCGGCCTGACGTCGGCAAACTTCATGGGGCCGAACAAAGAACATAAAACAAAGAATGGCAGACATGTAATCAACACTCTTTATTATTTTTTTTTCAGAAAACGCATACACTTTTCGATATTATTTCAGAATCTTCTTCTTTGGTTTCGATTTTATAAATTTTTCTGAAATAAAGAAAAAAAATGTATAGTAAGTTTATTAAATCAGTTAATGAAGTCTTCCAGCACCTATGTATATGCAAGTGTTTGATGGACACCAGCACACAATGGAAAATAATGGAAATCCTTGAATGCCTAATTTGGTAATAGTATCAAATCACACTGAATAGCAACCACTACCCCATCACTCTTGTTGGTCAGAGGCTGAGTGCAGGTAATCCATTTTTTGCAATAAAAAGACAAAACGTCAACAGCAAGTATATAGACAATGATATTTAACAGATGCACTTACGTTTACTGATTCACAGCTCCTGGATTATTTTATGTAATCCTCAATAAATCCATCACTTCTGTTTGTATCGGCCGTAATTCTTGTGTCTCATTTTCGCCCTTGCTGCAACGAAAATAACAATGTTCCACATTATAACAAGTTACAAATTGAACTAGATTCCCCAAGCATATATAAATCTAGTTAGTCCGATGCTGAAATTTATTGTGTAAAGTTATGGGGGTCAACATGTGTAGATTTAACACCAACATGTATATTTAAGTTAGGTTAGAAATAATTCTGCCCCTTTACAACAAACATGGATTACTGGACAGCGCTTCTATACATTCTAACCTGGAATACAAACTTGAATTGATATATTAAATAGCTATTGTAACTAACTACTAGATTCACGTCTTACTCGCGGAACAGTTACTGCTGCAGTATGATTTCGTTGCAAGTATTGTGACCAAAATGTTTCTGTGAACCAAGTAAACCATAAGAAATTTAATTGGTCTACATTTCCTGAACAAAGACTAAGTAAATTTGAATAATTAATACTGTATCATGAAAATGCATGGTGATCGAAAACTGAATGAACATTGCCGAGGTCCAGTCATCGCCAACGCCCCGTTATAGCGCGGTAAACATGTTTGTTTCTGGCTCTCGTTTAGAAGGTAAATATACATATCTGAAAATGATAAATTGATTCGTTTGGGGAAAATTGAAGAATACACAATGTAAACACTTTACTTTGATAATATAGATCTAGCCTTTTACTGAAAATAACGTGGGAATGTTAGACAAGCAAAACCACAACAACCATGCAGATGATCAACATTTAGTTTAGTCAGTGTTACGGTAATTTACCAAGTATGCTTCGGTCATTTCTGACTGAACATTCATTTTAAATAACATACTTAGACTATGACAGTAACTAATAGCCCACAGTCAGGTCGACCAAAAAGTATTTGAATACTTTTGATTCCCCATTTTCGTGTTATAAGGTTGATGCAACCTTTCCCACCGACTGAAGTGAGCGAACTTTTCATAGCTTAAAAATTTGATAGTAAGTTGTAATGTTAAATTAAGAAATATATATTTCAGAAATAACAGGGAACAAAATTAATGACGATAAGTGTCACTGGCTTGTGAGCTGTGCATACGCTTACTAGATCGAAAACCGAACATAATAGCAACAAATGTCCACCTGACATGAACTCTGGTTAAGAACATACTGCTTGCCATTGATAGCTGAATAAAATTTTGTATCCAACATAAAATTAATATGGTGCAAACTCCCTTAGGTCTCCTTCACAACAACATACATAATACCTTCTGTTGGAAGCCTAAGAATCTAAAAGATCGTGTACGGCTGCTCAGAACCTCGCGATTTCTGAGTAGCACGATCGAGTGAATATCAAAATGTACATAAACATAACAACAACCGGGCAGTGACTGTAAAGGTAACTTACTGCAACCGAGGTCAGATCGATGATACAGTTCCATTTGTTGATGCACAATGACATTGTTGTACCTTCCTCGATAAACTTCAACTAAAATGGCGGGTGCGAAAATATGACGTGAACGTGTGACGTCATTCTGATGTCCTTTCCCGTGGTAACATTTCTTTCTTCATGAACAACTTTTGAAAAAAACAATTAATGCTTTTAAATAGTTGAGAGAATTGTTCTAAGATTGTGACTGTTTTGACGAAAATATTTTTGATAAATCAGTTTGAAACCTTATGAAAATGTTATGTGTTAGCTAGCTGGGTTACATTGGCCCGCTGTCGGCCCAGCGCTGTTTAACGATGCCGATATTAGCCGACGTCGGGCCGATGATGGCACGCTACCTGGGTATTGCCTTGATTGCCACTCACACATATGGCCTTGATTAATTCTCACTCTTATGACCTTGATTGCCAATCACCCATATGGTCTTAATTGCCACTCACACATGTGGCCTTGATTGCCACTCACTCTTATGGCCTTGATTGCCACTCACACTTTTAGTCTTGATTGCCACTCATATTGATGGATATTGATTGCTGCTCATACATGGCCTTTATTGCCTCTCACACTTATGGCCTTGGTTGCCGCTCACAGATATTTCCTTGATAGCCAGTCACACATACAGCCTTGATTGCCACTCACACACATGGCCTTGATTAATGCTCACTCTTATGACCTTGATTGCCACTCACAGTTATTACCTAGATTGCCACTCACACTAATAGCCTTGATTGCCACTCACACTTATTACCTTGATTGCCACTCACACACATGGCCTTGATTAATGCTCACTCTTATGACCTTGATTGCCACTCACAGTTATTACCTAGATTGCCACTCACACTAATAGCCTTGATTGCCACTCACAGTTATTACCTAGATTGCCACTCACACTAATAGCCTTGATTGCCACTCACAGTTATTACCTAGATTGCCACTCACACTAATAGCCTTGATTGCCACTCACACTTATTACCTTGATTGCCACTCACACACATGGCCTTGATTAATGCTCACTCTTATGACCTTGATTGCCACTCACAGTTATTACCTAGATTGCCACTCACACTAATAGCCTTGATTGCCACTCACAGTTATTACCTAGATTGCCACTCACACACATGGCCTTGATTAATGCTCACTCTTATGACCTTGATTGCCACTCACAGTTATTACCTAGATTGCCACTCACACTAATAGCCTTGATTGCCACTCACAGTTATTACCTAGATTGCCACTCACACTAATAGCCTTGATTGCCACTCACAGTTATTACCTAGATTGCCACTCACACTAATAGCCTTGATTGCCACTCACACTTATTACCTTGATTGCCACTCACACATATGGCTTTGATTAATGCTCACTCTTATGACCTTGGTTGCCACTCATATATATGGCCTTGATTGCCACTCACACATGATTGATGCTCCCACATATGGCCTTTATTGCCACTCACAAGTTTGGCCTTGTATGCCACTCACACTTATGGCCTTGATTGCTGTTCACAACTACGTTCTTGATTGCTGCTCAAACTTACAGTCTTGATAGACGCTCATGCTATCGCCAATAATTCCCAACATGTTTTAATTGCTGCTGGGCACAACACTCTCCCATGCTACAGATCACTGAATGGTCACACTAGATTATAGTCTAAAAATCTTCTAATGCCATCTGTGGATTTAATAGCATTCACTCATTGTCTTACTGTGGCATGTTTCAGATCACTCTAAAGGGTTCGGGGAAGTTTGGTGTACAGAAGGAGAACATGGACAAGTCCGCTGTTGGCTGGGACCACCAAGAGAAGCTAGGGAAACACGAGTCACAGACAGGTAGGTCAGCAGGAAGGGCAGTACGCCTCTGTTCACCAGCAGTTAGGGGGTACCTGGTAGGATGTGATTTTTACCCTTCTAATTCCCCACAGGCAGCTTGGGTTGTATACTCTCTGGCAAGATGAGAATAAAATTTGAGGGCACATTGATCCATTAATGAAGATCTGTCAACTTTTGTGATCAGATTATGGTATAGTTTTGGGAAAATGACTGAATAAATTGATTATATCATTGATATTGTTAACTCTGGACTTTCAGTAATTGTCAATGTGACCACGTTTCAGATCACTCTAAAGGGTTCGGAGGGAAGTTCGGTGTGCAGAAGGAGAACATGGACAAATCTGCTGTGGGCTGGGACCACAAGGAGAAAGTGGAAAAACACGAGTCTCAGACAGGTACTTGTCCCACAGTGGATACATTTATGGCCCTCAGATGGGGGAGTATTTCTGATTGAGCCATTGAACGCCTGGATGAAGTTAAACATCAGTTGTATGTTTTGCATCTGTTTAGTTTCCATAGAAACTTGTTTGACATTGTCATAATGTCATGTAATGCAAGGAAATATTTGTTGTGGAGCTGCAACGAGTCTTGTCAAACTATCACAACATTTTGCAATAGTTGATACTTTTTTGTATGTATGCTACCATGGAGCAGTTGTGTTTTTATTTGATAGCAATGCCATTGCAAAACCCTCGAAAATTGCACATCTGAATTGTCAACCCAGCTATGATGTACCTTCATGTGGCCCTTTTTCATTTCAGAGCATTTTCTGTTTAGTTTAGGAAGCTAAATGATCCTAGCTATAAAATGCTTCTGGAAAAAGCACACCAAATTAAGATCTAATTATAAACATGACCATCACAGCATGCAGTGTGAAGAAATGTCAGGATACTTAGGACCATTTATCTGCAGTTGCCATGACAATTACGAAAACATAAAAAGCATACATAAAAGTGTAGTATTTTTGAAGAATTATGACTGCATTTGCCCTTTTTTTTGGATGCGTAGACTTTCAATGTTAAAATGCTATTGTTAAAGTGATCATTATTAATTTGAATTGCTTGCAGATTATTCCAAAGGATTTGGTGGGAAGTTTGGTGTTCAGAAAGACAGACAAGATAAGACTGCAGCTGGTTATGACAGTATTGAGAAGACAGAACTTCATTCCTCCCAGGTGGACATGAAGAAAGGCTTTGGGGGGAAGTTTGGTGTGGAAAAAGACAAGATGGACAAGGTACGTTCAACTGTTGTAATGTTATAAGAAATATCTCACTTCAAAGCTTATGGGGGCACAGTGGTTAAATGCCATAACATGCCAATCAAGTACAGGTCTCTGAGCTTTGAAGGGCATGAGTAGCACAGTCGCCAGTTCTCTGTGACTTACCCCTACGCTCACCAGAAACCTATAACCATGGGCCCTCATACCCTTTGTGGTGTCATGGTTTACAGAGGTCGTGTTTTTGATCATGGACTTGATTCCTGGTAGTCTTTGACCGTTCTTCTGCGTTTGTCAATGCCATACCCATTTTTTTCCAAAGTGGTGAAAGCATAAAGACTTTGGTGTAATGGGTGAACCAGTTGTCGTTTTGCTTTGCAGAGTTTCCTCCCTTAGGTGTGTCAGACGCCTGGGATCATAAGCATCAACTCCAAGAGCATGTTTTTAGCTATGTCAGTACTGTAGCTGCTTGGTTTCACCAAAGTAGTTAGAGACCTGTATTGCTCTTAACACATGTCCGCCCGGGAGAGCGGAAGGTCGCGGGTTCGATCCCCGACCGCGTCATACCAAAAGACGTTAAAATATGGTACTTGTTGGTCCCTGCCTGGCGCTCGGCATTAATGGGTACAAGAAGGACTGGTCTGCTCGGAGTCAGTATAATGTGTCTGAGTGGGGTATTCATGCTTCACTACGGCATGGTATCTCAGTGGGCTAGCACTATAAAACCAGCTTCAGTCTGGGCTAGTACAAGCAGCCGCACATACACATACACACGCATGCACGTCGTCATATGAGCGAAATATTCTCAAGCACGACGTTAAACCCAATTTCACCTCACCTCATCTTAACACATGAAGCTAACACTCCTTGATACCACTGAAATACTATTCAAAATAATGAGTCAACCTGTCAACTCATGTTCTGCTTTCATTTATATTTTTTTCTAGTTTTGTTTATTCACTTCAGTTGAATACAAACATCAACTTTCCGAGCCTTTAAGTGAGAGACAACACACATAAAAAAGGCACACATACATATTCAGTTACATTATGTGCTTGGAGTAGTAGACTAAGTACGAGATTGTGGAATCACAGTGACATGCAAGTACTGCATCATTGTAAGATAAAGTCATAACAGTGACAACGCAGGTGATATTACATCCCATTTTCTAATAAATGTACCCATGTTGATATTTTTCGAAGAAATATATTTTTCAGTTTGATACACGCCATGCTTTCATTTTTGTTCAAAACATAATAATGAATGGCATTGGAAATGTCTTTATCATTATAGGGCGGTGGGGTAGCCTAGTGGTTAAAGCATTTGCTTGTCATGCCGAAGACCCGGGTTCAATTCCCCACATGGGTACAATTTGTGAAGCCCATTTCTTGTGTCCCCCACTGTGATATTGCTGGAATATTGCGAAAAGCGGCGTAAACCTTAATTCATTCACTCACTGACTCTTTATCATTATAAAAGTTTGACTATTTCCAGATGGTCTACAGGGCCATGGAGTGACCATAATTATCCATTTTCTAAACATTATGAATTTCTTTCTTCAGAATGCGGGTACTTTTGAAGATATGCAAGGTGCTTCCACCAGTTACTCAAAAACAAGAGCTGATTCAAGTAAGTCGGCATCTGCAGTAGGCTTGTATAACCTATCACCATCCAAATGTGTGTTTAAGATGGGATAAAGAAATAGTTATTGATTAACTGACAGGATGTTTGGGGCTGCTGGCTGATACAAGTACAAGACACCTATGGGTGAGAGTGTTTTCGCAGCAACATGTTGTGTGAGACGACAATGAATTTAGAGATCGAGCTGGTAGACATGATGAAATGTGCATTTCCTTAATGAAATAGGAATCATGTAGAACCTGTGTCACTTTTCTGTGACATTGACCTAACAGGCTGCGATGAAACAGGAAATTATTAAATGAGGTTTTGAACCAGACAATCACGTGACCTTGGATGTTTCAGGTTCTGAAGGTGCTAAGAATCTGAAGGCCGGTTCGAGAACATGGCCAAGGCTGGGGAAGAAGAAGGCAAGAAGAGGGCTGAGGAAGAGAGGGCAAGGCGAGAGGCGCGAGAAAAGCGAGAGCAGGAGGAACAGAAGAAACAGGTGGAGGTAGGTGAAGCAGAGTTACCTCCCTTTACTTGCGGCATTTTTTTTAATTTTGAGATAAGGTGAAATAGGGTTCAACTTCGTGTTCGAGATGGTCTGAAAGTTTATTCCCAACGTTATGTGACATATAAACCAAGATTTTCCCTGATGGTAGCTATCCATTTCTTCAAACTAGCAATTGATGTATCACAGATTACCTTTCTGCGAAACATGATTTTCACTTACCATTCCTTTTTGTATTGTTATCTCTGCATTGTATGAAGATGGGTTTAAACTTTTGGTTGCTCCTTCGTTTTCAGGCTCGTCTTGAAAAGGAGAGGTGGCAAGATGAAGAGACGCGATCCCAGGAACCGGAGCCAGAGGTAGAACCTGCTGTACAGGAACCGGAACCAGAACCAGAACAGGAATATGTTCCTGAAGATGTGTACAATACTGTTGACAACTATGAGCCAGATGATACGTACAACACGGCAGAAGATGTTGCTGCGGCAGTGCCGGAAGAAGAGGATGTGTACAATGACGCCAGCCCTGGTGGTGGAGACACAGGCATCACTGCTGTAGCTTTATATGACTATCAGGCTGGTGAGTCTCCTAAATCAGTCCAGTGGAGTCACATGATAATACTTCACATTTTCCCTGTTGGGATTCCAACCTGAGAGGGGTGGTGGGGTAGCCTAATGGTTAAAGTGCTGAAGACCTGGGTTTGATTCCCCACATGGGTACAGACAGTCTGGTTCAGACTCGCTTATTGACAGACCACTGTAATATAGCTGGAATATTGCTGATTGTGGGATATAATAATTATAAACGAAAAAAAAAAAAGGAAATCCACTTTGGAATAGGTTACCAGTGAGTGAGTGAGTTTAGTTTTATGTCACACTCACCACACTGAAACCAGCATGCTGCTGCTGCTGCTGCTATGGAAGGATACAATATATGGATGAACAACCTCTTTATTACATACTGCTGTTATATCCGTGTTTGTCTTGTTTTTCAGCTGATGAAGATGAACTCAGCTTTGATCCAGAGGATATCATTACTAATATTGAAAAGGTATGTATCACAGTTTGTTTGGTTTGTATGTAAAGCTGCCATCTGGTTCACTCCATACCTTAACTGAGAAATCTAAAGTTCATCATTATCACAACAACTTTGTTTTTCAATATTTAATGACATCACAATACAGCAAAACAATGCTACTTTCAGATTGACGATGGATGGTGGCGAGGTGAATGTCATGGGAATGTTGGCCTGTTTCCTGCAAATTATGTTGAAGAAACAAAGTGATCTCCCTTTGAAATGCTGAAATTGTTCAATTTATTTGTTATGGTAGAAAACAAAAACTAATACAGCAATTACAATGAAAGATATGATCAAGTTCATTTCAGTGTTATTATTTCAAGTCCATGTGATTTTGTCACTAATATCAACAGTTATTTTCATAAGCTTTTTATACAGTTTGATATCATATTTATACACCATAGGCACAGATGGACTGGTGGCCTGTAGCATTGTAATTCAATATGCAGAGTTGCATACCTTTGCCTTGCCAGGATCCATAGCTTTGTCCGTGTATAACGTAGGTCTAACGGTGTTTGTGTTTTACACCTCAGCGGTAAGCATCTATTAACTGTGTCAATTCTGGCTCTCCTCTCATATTAAGCTGACATGCTTGGTTGTAACTGAACTACATGCGAAGCGGCACTAAACCTAACCGCTTCATCATGGCAAGAAACTGAAACCAACAAGGGTGAAACCCAGAAAACAAACAGGGAAATTGCCATGTTTTGACTTAATTAGCTTCACTTAATGTTGATGTAAGACAAAATTTGCAGAATCTTATCAGAACTACTTTTATGGTGCAAAACAAAAACGTATTTATGAGCCTGAACCATTCATCGTGTTACGTCTGAGAGCTCAAATACATTGTCAAAGCTTAACTTCAGATCATAAACAAACAGATGCCGTGATAGAAATGCTACTGTTGTAATTCTCACAGTCAAATAATGAAGTCATTTTGTACAGGAGATTTGCGTTTCTAGATGTTTTGAATTGTTAACTCAATCATGAGTGAATTTATGATTAAAGCAACATCAGTATATCAAACTATACTTCTCATCAAAAGTTTAGACTCACTATCGTAAATATAGCCACTTACTTCAGGCAACTGTTCTAAACTAAATTTTGCAAAATATTCCGTTTAGAGTACTGTTTACACATAACTGATGTATTGTAAAACAAATTCGTAACGTTGAAAAGATTATTGTCATGAGTTGAGTAAATGATGAAAATCAGTGGATATTGGCGAATTCTTAACAAAACTTTGCACCAAAACGCAGCTGTTCACATGCACAATATTTGCATATGCCTTTCAGCAATTTGTTTCATGACCCTCGTGCAATTCAGCTGCATTTGGTTTGCAGTTGGTTCCCCCCAGTTTGTGGAGAAATCAGTCTTCGATGTAACCACATATATATATACACATAACATATTGTGAGTGTTTTAGGTGAGTCTAAACTTTTGAAGAGAAGTATATTAAAATTCATGTGAGGACCTAAATTTGATGTTCTATATTTTGTTCGGTTTGTAGCACGATGATGGTCCTTTCAGTGAGAGTTCTGATAAAGATCAGTCATTTTATTCTTCATTTCTTGGTGTCAGTGACAAGATTTTGATGACAGTTTGAACAGTCCTTCTGTACCGCGCCCAAAGTGTGAATGATGAAATTAATGCATTTTCAGTATTAGCGTGAGTGTATGTTACCATGGTAACAGGGCTGTAACAGTCTGCGAAAGGATCCAGTAATTGTATCTTGCCACTATTCATATATCGTATGACAAGGTCATGTTATAAACAGCAGTAGAAAATAACATGTTATGAAGATCATTTTCATTAAATATCACATCTTTTACCCAATGATATGTCTCTGCAACAGGAACAGTCTTATAAAGTCTGTTTATTTGACTTCAGTACCTTTAAAATGAAGTCAGATGATATGTTTTGAACTTAAATAATGCAAAAGTCATTATATTGTGGTGGATGGGTTTTTTTAAACCCCATCGTCCCATTTTGGCAGCCAAAAGGGAAAACAATAGAGAAATATTTGTTTTGTGTGCTTTTCTACTCTTGTTGATATCAGTATTTTGGAATCAAGGTGGTAAAGAAATGAAGCCAAATTGTTTCAGAGAGCAGGTATCTTTCATTTCACTTGGGGTTGCGGTGGGGTAGACTAGTGGTTACAGCATTCCCAGGTTCGATTCCCCAGATGGGTACGATATGTGAACTCCATTTCTTGTGTCCCCTGCCATGATATTTCTGGAATATTGCTAAAAGCAGCGTGAAACTAAACTAAACTCACTCAATCATTTCACAAGGGCAGTGATGTTCAGGTAAAGTTTCACCTGTCACGCCCTTCTCCGGAGGTTTTGTCAGATTTTCTCTCAGAGAGATAACTTGCAGGAACAGTTCTAATGTTAATGTGGATAAATGTACAATACGATGGAAGTTGAGTTTACACCAGTGTGATGTTTTTTGTACCCTTGTGCATTATTTCACCACTTTAGACCAAACTACAGATAATATTGTAAGGCTGTATTGTACAACCCTGTTGACCAGGTTAAGCAATAGACATTGTTTCAGCTCCAGTTTAGCATTCTCACATGTAACCAGGCAGCAATATTCTGCTTTGTTGGTCACATGTCATGGTGCTAGTGTCTGGGCAACTGTTGCTTGGCATGATGCTGTTTACCATTGCACTGATTATTGTTAAAGAGGGACCCTGGTCTATTCTGGTGCTGATTTTCAGAGTCGATATTGTAAAACATTGTGTGAAACAGATGTGTCATTAGTGAGCTGATGTAAGGCAATATAGGGTTCAACATCACACTCATGATTATTGCACTGTTATTCTGTGTAGGTGAATGACTGCTTGTAGTAACCAAAACTGATATCATTTTTATAGAGCAAACCCACTAAGATGCCTTGCTACAGTTAAAGGGAGCGGTGGGGTAGCCTTGTGGTTAAAGTGTTGACTCATCACGCTGAAGACAAGGGTTCGATTCCCTATGTGGGTACAATGTGTGAAGCCCATTTCTGGTGTCCCCTGTCTTGATATTACTGGAATATTGCCAAAAGCGGTGTAAAACCATACTCACTGCTAGAGTTAAGACTTCACTGACGAGGAGCCAGCTCATTAATCGATGTACCAGACAAGGCAACCTCATGTACCATCTTTTTGAAAATTCTTCAGATGACTTGGCCAGGGATTTAACCACTAACTTTCCCATAAGCAGACATTCTATTCACTGGGGTGGTGGGGTAGCCTAGTGTTGAATCCCCACATGGGCACAATGTGTGAAGCCTATCGTGATATTGCTGGAATATTGCTAAAAGCGTAAAATCATGACTATTCACTGACATTCTGTTGTTTTGAAATAAATAACTCATAATAACTGTGGTCTCATCATAAATCTGAGGTCTCTCACAGGGCAGAGATGTTGTATAATTTGACTTCAATGGAGAAAATTATGAATAGGTCTATGATTCACAAGATGGACGTTTTTTTAAAGGGTCACAGGTGTGATAAAACGTGGGTTTTGAATGTCGAGTTGTTTGACTGCCAGTTGGCTAGAGCCTTGTCCCTCTCTAACTGTCACAATACATCTTTCAACAGCAATAGTTAGCAATGTAGTTTGAGTTTCAAATTTCCATTTGTTGTGTGATTGTTATCATGGAAAATTTTTTTTTTCTTGACATCCATAAAATTGGATATTGTGTTTGAATGGGAAGAAAGATTGGGGATATTTAAGGAGGCACACTTTACCTTGGTTATAAGAGGAATAAGACTGCACCTAAATATATCTCTGTAGATTGTAACCTGTTTGGGCTTTTGCTATTATTAGATGTGTGTAGGTAGCTTAGGTTGTATACTCCCCAGGGAGTTGATACTGAAAATAAGGTGCACACAGAGCCACTGACAGGGTAATAATGGTGAAGTGTTATACTGATGGGCATTGAATGTGGTGCCATAGAAATGTACTCATTCTGGTTTTGTTTCTTACACAAAAAACGTTTTACAAATCCTGTGTCTTCAAAATGTGCACATGTGCATCACATCTTCCCAACCCGTTCTGGTTCTCCCACCATTTTCATTGGAAATAGGCATTGAGCCAAGCAATAGTGGAAATGAGTTCATGGGGTCATACATTACTTAACATTTTAGGTTAAAGGAGAAATGTTATAAGCAAATTAACCTAAAAGAGAAATGTGTTATAAGGATATTAACCTAAAGGAGAAATGTGTTAAAAGCATATTAACCTAAAGGAGAAATGTGTTAAAAGCATATTTAGATTAATACACTACTCCTGGATGAAGTAAACATGAAAACACGGAAAAGGTTTTTAATGTGTTCGCTTGGCATGTCTCAGTGTGATCTAAACCTAAAGCATTAATGATGTAGCTAGAATTTCAGTGCTTTTAGAATGAGACTTTTTAAAATGTAAACAATGTCATATCAGAAGGCATGTCTCATTGCATAATTGTCATAGCGATATTTAGAGCATTCAGGTGATGTTGACTTTATACTGATTTTTACTTTGACGCAAATGATGGAATTGACCAATTTCCAAAAGATAATTCTTTGAGGGCACCTGCTTTAGCCTCTCATTTGATTTCAGATTACATCTTTATTTTGGGACAAAATATTTAAAATGTTGTATCATCGATTTACGTAATTATCAGTGTAAGGTAATGTGTGAATACTTTCAGTGTGCGCCAGTCTTGCTGCCAGATATTTTTGTTCGAAAGCACCATGAACCAGCATACCAAATAAGGTGTATTTTGTACTTGCATATATTTACATTCAAATGTACATATAATGTGAAAGCCTTTTACAAACACTCCAAGTAGGATAGCTGTAATGTATGTATGTATATATACTGTGTCTCAATGTATTTCCATGTATATGTATCAAAATGTTTATATGACAATTTTATATTAATGTCAGTGAATGAAATGAAATATATTCCAAGCTCTTTGACTGGTCTTATATACAGTTGTACAATGTAGATATAATGACCTGTATCACACTATCCTGGTAATAATTTGAAATATTTCTCTATAACTTATCTGGGCCAGGGGTGAAACAATCTCTGATTATGCAAACTACAAAAACTTGAAATTTTTAATTCATATACATTTTGGCAGGTCCAATTTTTTATTTGTGACATGATACTTGTGAGAAATATTTTCAAAATTGTAAGTAAATTGATTTGTCAAGTTTTATATGATATTTTTGTTTCTACTTAGATGTCGTTACCCACACCACTGATGATTGCTGTAACAGCCATTGCCTTTATACTTCTTTTAAAATTTTGTTTCATTCAAGTATTTATCACTTTGTTTTATCATTTCCCTGTCGAAATAGTGTAACACTTTAGTTATCTGCATATTGGCATTTTTATGTTTCAGCATTTATCATACATTAGCCAAAAGTAGTCAGCCTTTTGATGTTCTGAAGTGCTGACTTTGGAATGTAGACTGATAAATCATATTCACTAAAACAAGCCAACCCCGAAATATTTAACAGCCTTGAGCCTGTATTTGCGATAGCTTCTCTATATTACACAAATATCTGAACGGATTGAACGTCTGGAGGGCAGGTGTAGATATTTCATCATCTGAATGTATCAGCTGTTTTTGTAAATGAGGATGCACAATAGATCTCTTGTATCAAGGCCACATGTTAAAAGCTTGGTCGTCAGCCCAAAATTATCATAAATTAGACAATAAGGAGTATTGTCTGTAAATTTAGAGGGATGATTCGTACAACAAAATATAGGGAGATAACTGCAACAGGAAGCCTTCTTTGTTTATAAATAGTACAGGCTGGATTTTCTTGTGTGCTTTTTGATTAACATGCTTCATTCACTATGCAATTGCTATGGGGCAGTTGACTTTCAAGTTTACAAAACTGTAAGAGTTATCTCCCTTTAGAGAGTAGCCAGTGCACTTCATCATCAGTCACGGTGTGTTTGAACTGAAAGATTCTGTAAGCTTTATGGTTGATTGGGCACATTGAACAAATTATATGATAAAATAAAAAATATTTTGTCTTTTGTTGTTTTTGTCATCAGTGTATTAGAGGTGATGTTGTTTTATCATGGACTTGAAACAACAATTCTACTGAAATAAACCTGGACACATTCGACAGTGAGGCACCTAATACCCAGCGCAAATAGTCAGCGATCTAACCCTCTCTGACGCCATGGTTTCCATACAAATGGAAGTATGACAGCTGATTTACCGAGATCACATACTTTGTGAACCCCTCTGAGAAGTGCCAACTGGTAAAGCTCCTAAAGTGAGTTTAATTTTACGACCCACTCAGCAATAGTCCAGCTATATGGGCGGTTTGTAAATAGTCGAGTCTGAACCAGACAATCCAGTGATCAACAGCATGAGCATGGATTCATGCAAATGGGATACGATGACGTGTAAACCAAGTCAGCTAGCCTGACCACCCGATCCTGTTGGTCGCCTGTTACGACAAGCATGGGTCTAACCGAATCTTCATGGGCCAAAAGCTATGAACACAATACCAGAATGGCACACACTCATTCTCCTTTTTCAATGCAGCTCAGCCAGGGATAGACACCGTTGGTTGTATCTGACTTGAAGCTTGTGCAACACCCTACAGCTGGCAATAAAGATGATAATCGGGAATACACCTGCATCATTAATTGGAAAGTTTTAAAGTAATCAGACAATACACTGTTTTATTCATAGGATGCTTCTAAATTAGTTCGGGACAGTGTTTTGTTAGTAATTCAAGCTTAAATATGTCACCACTCACCAGTGATGTGAAATATGTTGATTTCCTTCAGATTGTTTGGTAGTTTTGCTCAAAGCTACTTGAACACTACCTGCACTCATTCTCCATTTTAACTAATCATGGACTATTGGACTTCTGGATGTGTCTATATCTGGTAAGACGTTAGTATTACGATGTCAGGTACTGGCATCTCTCAGGCGGTGGTGTAGCCTAGTGGTTAAAGTGTCTGCTCCTCATGCTGAAGACCCGGGTTTGAATCCCCACCGTGATATTGCTGGAATATTGCTAAAAGTGACGCAAAACCATACTCACTGGCATTTTTTGGAAATGTACAATAGTTTCATGAACAGCAGAAACCTGTGTGGGTTACAACTGGTCTCTAGCAACCGATGCTTGTTGCAGGAGATGAGCGAATTAGGTTCATGTGTCTGATCCTGTTATTGATATATCAATATCATGGTGGCAGTCCATGGATTGTCTGGTCCAGACTTGGTTTTCTACAGACTGCCATCATATAGAAAGAATATTCCTGAATGCTGTATCAACAAACGGACATCACAAACATGAACAGCAATAAGGAAATGCAAGCCCTAATCAGTATCTGGCCACATGATACATTTTTAATTATGCAGTGTTTAGTCCAGCATACTTTTTGTGATGTATCAAAACTGATTTAAGATAGGCCTGGTGACCACTGCCCATGTTGGACTCTAGTGAGTACAGAACTTTGGTCCTGCCAAGACACCGAAACATGTCTTTTTCAGGCTGGTATTACTCTTCGTAAGTTCATCCATCATCCAGAACAGAAAGGACCAGTAAGGTGGAATGCATCCTCGATAATCTCCAGGGTATACGTTACGATCAATCTCCACTATACCCTGGATGCATCCACGGCTTGGCCCGATAATTTTATGTATGACAGCTGCCTTATCCATGACTGCGTATTGTGAGCAATGAACAAGTTACAAGTCAGTAAGTGAGTGAGTATGGTTTTATGCCACTTAAGCAATATTCCAGCAATAGCACGGCAGGGGGACACCAGAATGGGCTTCACACATTGTACCCATGTGGGGAATCGAACCCGGGCCTTTGGCATAACAAACGAACACTTTAACCACTGGGCTATACCACCACCCATCAGTGAATGAACCCAGCCTGACCACCCAATCCATTTCCAGCATCATGACCAACCTGGGATCCCCATAGGACTTGCAGTTATGATGTAAGATTTCACTTACTCATGTTCAACAGAAAGACTGCATGCACCTGTTGGGTGAAATACAATTTCCACAATTTCCTCTCTGACTGGCATCAGTATAGATATAAAACAAAATGCTTCAACACTTGTAGATGATTATGCTCTTTATTGTCATAACATTCAAGGCACAAAACATTCATGTGGTGAAGTCGGGTGACAGCCTGGACATAAACTCTCTGGGACATTCCAATAAATCCATCGTATTCTTTTACAACACACAGTAGTATATAAATAATACACATCCCTACTTGAAAATATAAAGTGTGTATTATACATGAATAAACATAATAGGCCAAATAAAATATATATTGTGGTTCCGATTACACCTCTTTCAAATTTAGGGTAGGTAGGTAGGAATTCTTCTTTTTTTCACTTTTATTCTTAGAAGTAAAGTACGAACAAATAACACATTTATGAATATGTAATTGTTTATTTAATCAAACTTGCTGCCATCATGTCGACTTTCTCTATCAGAATGACCAATGTCCGTTGGTGCCGGGAAAATACAATGGTATCTGAAAGCTTATTTTATTCATACTACATGGATTTAAGGAACATGGTACAAAAAAATTAGGTCCAGGGGTTAACAAACAAATGAATGACTTTTCTCACATACTGAAAACAACCAAGAGCTTGCTGTATGTACAGATATATATATATATATACACTGTGTGGTATTTGGTATTCTGCTGATGCTTTCCAGTTACAACTTAGACGAGGAAAGGTCATTTCTGCTATATCATGGAGCTGACAATTTCAAAATTGTTGGCAGTTAAGTAGCTGGAAAAGATGTTTGGGAAAATAATTGTTTGGATATAAACAGTAAGTTAGCAACACAACATATCAATATGTTACTGCTTGATTCCTCGGAGTTGATATTTTAAGTACATTCACTTCTATGATTTGAACAATCTGTGAGAATTTCTCAATTTTTATGGCTAGTATCCATGTTTCTTTATGTTTTCGTGATTATACTTTTAACTTTAAATAGAATACTTATTTTTCAATAGTAACCCAATAGTTTCTAAGTGTAACTGTTCTATTTGGGTCAATATTGACACAGACATTGCATTGATCAAAGGGTGCTGTCCGATGTAAGTGGACTATGGTGTAATGTTAATGATGTTGTTGGATCTCAGATATATCAACCCAAGTTGGAGAAGGGAACAGAAGATGACATCACACTCAACTTGCATAACTCTGATTTTCAAACTTCTTCAGAATCCGAACTATTCTCGGAAAATCAAGGCAGTTAATTCTGGCCAAGTTTGTCAGTCATGTACAAGGGACAAAACTCTGTATTCATTATACAAAGAATCTGCTCTGAGTGACGACTTTTGATAATCTAAATAAAACTCTAAATCCAAAGATATATTTGTATACATCTTGTCTGTGAAACGAAGGGTGTTAATTTTTATTTACCACATTTTTTCGCTTTTGATGCATTTAATGCCAACTGCGATCCAACAAATGAAATAATGGCCTATTTTTGTAAAAATATCTCTAAAATGATCCAATGAAACCGATGAGAAATGAGTTTGTACAGAAGCAAGTCCTGAGATTCTCCACAGGTCATGACATCAAAAGAACAACCACCATACAATCTTCTTCAGCACTGTCACATTAACACCAAAGTGGTTCAAATGTTTTAGGTTTACTGCCAACATATTCTCAGACAGACCCAGGTCTTAAAAACTCTGAACATGCTGAGGCAACTTATAGCTTGATCCATGTAAGTCTCACAGGCATAAATACATCTGCCAGGTCCAGTACTTTGAGTAAATCATTGTATGATGCCAGATTGAGCTGAAATATTGTCCATTTCAACAACATATATGGTCAACTCTGCAATGTCAACCTCTTTGAGAATTTTAGAGGAACAAAACTAGAATCTGAGACCAATTTTCAGTCTCGTCGTCTTGACATAAAGCCTTGTGTAAATTTTTAGACATTACGTATTCAAGTAATTAATGCTGAAAAGCAAATCAGGCAAATTTAAAATGACTTAAATCATCTTTCCTAGGACCCACTTACAACTTCCTAAGTCAATCTTCATCTAAATCTATGGAAGTTCATTTTAATTCTTTCTATTTATCTTTTACATGTATCCCCACATTGCCAAATGTTTGTTCAAATGCATTAAGATTTGTAGTCACATAAAAGGGTCACAGTAAAATGTATAGACCTATGTTTTATAGTTTTGTCTGAACATTGTCCTCCTTGCAACGTTGCTTGGCAACTGTTGACCTGTTGATCCAGAGTTGTCTCCCTTGAGTCAAGGGAATTTGATTGGCTGATCACTTGATTCTGTCCCACCTCCATATCATTCCATCATCAGTGACAGCCAATAGGATGTTTCCATCTTTAGACAGGGCTATTTGACGGATGGGGACAGAACACTTTGCATGAGACAACTTTGTAAATCTGAAAAGAAATCGTCTGTGTAGTCAACTGATGCTGGAGAAGGAGAGATGTTACAGTGTTGTCAGCAGATTACAGTTATATCATAGCTGCCAGGGAATAATCCCCAGTCTGACCCTGACATATAAGGGGTTGAGTTTAGTTTTATGCTGTACTCAGCTATATTCTAGCTATATGACGGCAGTCTGTAAATAATCGAGTCTGGACCAGACAATCCAGTGATCAACAGCATGAACATCAATCCGTGCAATTGGGAACCGATGAAATGTGTCAACCAAGTCAGCGAGTCTGACCACCTGATCCTGTTAGTCGCTTGAAAGCATGAACAGCACATAGATGGGTCAGGGTGACACACAATTAGTAAGGTCTCACAAGTGTAATGACTGGTATCAGGGAATGGGATTTGGCAGGGATGGGGTTGAGGGGTTGATATAAATGGGGGTTGGGGGTGTCATAAATAAATGAAAGAAGGTTGCCAAAATTCATCACAAATATGGGGTTAGGGGGGAACAAAGCATGATATACACATTTAAGAGACTACCTACTTAAGCAATATGAAGCATAGGGAAACTATTCCCAGTGGAAGTATGTGTGTGGTGTAGGCTAATAAAGGATATGTTGATACAGATTTCACCAAAATAATACATCCACTACATGCATAACCTGTAGCCAGTGTTGCACCATGACTGGGTTCCTGTCGACTGAAACTAACAGTCTTAGCGAAAACCCTGTTTGAGCCAGGCTCTGGCTTAATTCTCGGGCTTAGACAGCACTAATCGTGGAATTCGTTAGGCCTGAATATCAAATGGAAACAGCTACAGCTCCATGAAGTTTGTCTGTTTAATAAAACTTGTAACGAATTTTATTGCCCAAAGCAAACTTTTAAGTTACAAACTGTTGTCGATCTGTATCAACATTTTAATTGATCAATGTTTTTATTCACTTACAGTGGCAGCTTGCCCATTACTACAGAGCATGATAATGGCTGCTTGACATCTACGCTCTTAATTAAGAGCATACAAGCAGCTACAACCAAATCCCCACAAAAAGGGAGAGTTTCATCCCTCAGCAGACAGACAACTCACCTGCACAGTGTTGGGTCTTCTACATCCAGGTCCCACACAAAGGGAGACTTTCATCCCTCAGCAGACAGACAACTCACCTGCACAGTGTTGGGTCTTCTACATCCAGGTCCCTCACAAAGGGAGACTTTCATCCCTCAGCAGACAGACAACTCACCTGCACAGTGTTGGGTCTTCTACATCCAGGTCCCACACAAAGGGAGACTTTCATCCCTCAAAGGGAGACTTTCATCCCTCAGCAGACAGACAACTCACCTGCACAGTGTTGGGTCTTCTACATCCAGGTCCCACACAAAGGGAGACTTTCATCCCCTCAGCAGACAGTGTTGGGTCTTCTACACAACTCACCTGCAGACAGACAACTCACCTGCACAGTGTTGGGTCTTCTACATCCAGGTCCCTCACAAAGGGAGACTTTCATCCCTCAGCAGACAGACAACTCACCTGCACAGTGTTGGGTCTTCTACATCCAGGTCCCTCACAAAGGGAGACTTTCATCCCTCAGCAGACAGACAACTCACCTGCACAGTGTTGGGTCTTCTACATCCAGGTCCCTCACAAAGGGAGACTTTCATCCCTCAGCAGACAGACAACTCACCTGCACAGTGTTGGGTCTTCTACATCCAGGTCCCACACAAAGATCTTTCCCACCTGGTTTCCTAGTGCCATTGTCTACAAAACAAATACTCACATGTCAAACCTTGTGCATAGCGCTGCACTACTAGCATTGTCTAATGGTACCTCCTATCTCCAGCCATCTGAATGCACCATAATCAATGTGTTCTAATGAGAAGAGGTTGGCACCAAGGATGTTAATCTTAATTAGAATATGTGGCGATGGCAAACATTCGGAATCCTATAGCCTACTAGGACATGAAGTGAAAAACCTCTATGTTTCTTTCAGCATTCAGGGTCTGAAATCCTTATTACCAGTGGTGTAGCCAGGGATTTACAGGACGCAAATTCCTGCGTCATATACGCATAAAAATATATCAGCGCATCCACAGGGACTCAGAAAAAGTCCAAATACTTTTTTGTAAAAATTCCAATCAAGTGACAATAACTTATCACTGAGTTTGCTACTAGCTTGGTTATAGTATTATTTGCAATTTAATTACTGTAACAATTTGATGATCATGATACATAATACAATAACAGTATTTATAATAATATTTAAGCATCTGGGACCCCCATTTTGTTGTCCAGAACCCCTGAAAATTAAGAGTATGAGTCCCAGGGACCCTCAAATACAGGATTCCACGTAAATCCCTATGTATCTGTTCTGGAATTGGTGAGAACAAACATTAATCACTTTGATGCATAACTTTTACATACTGACAATAAACACTCCCTATGTTAGTGACATGCAATGACTTCTCCCTGCAAAGCATGTTGAGAGTACCGTTAGTATGCATGATAAATGAAAAAACTAGTCAAGTTATTTCTGCATACATTGTATTAAGATACATTATTACCTAATAATAAATGAAGTCATTGGTATTTTTTTAAATGATACAAATTTAAATCCAGAATCTTCAATATCAAGTTCAGAAATCCTGAAAACAGCATGTGATGTTCTGCCCCTCACCTTCTGATAGTAGTCGAGACAGAATCGCATGTACCAGATACTCTCCACAATACCCTGTACTCCAAACCTGTGTAAGATGGACACGTGTGATTGTCAGATGCCTTGATGTTGGTGTCTGTGATAGTCCAGACTGGCAGGCTTCCAACAAATGATGCTGATGCTGGTGTCACATGACTGAAAGGTTCGGGATTGATGTGCGTCAGAAAACATGTTATTTAACAAATGATGTCTCATGCTTCAACAATAGTCCCCTATATCCAGAAAGCCTGTCCAGGAACCTCCAGGACAAAAAATTGCATAGAATGACGGTTTGGTGTAGATTCTTACACCGTTATCAAGTTAATAGTGACTATATACAGTTGGGCATGTGAGAAACTGAGACCAGGTGTTCATGAGTGAGGGAAAGTTGTTCTACACGATGGTCAGCATTATTCTATCTGTTCCAAGACAGTTTGTGAAGATTCGGGACTTGAAGACAGGTCAGTAATTCATCAGTGAATTATCACCACGCATACGTCCCAGTGAATGAGTCAGTATGATCTCATGACACTTTAAACTATATTCCAGTGACATCACAACCAGAGATGTCAAAAATGGGCTTAATACATAGTGCCCAGGTATGGAATCAAACCCTGGTCTTCAGTGTGATAAGTGAACACCTCAACTACTAGACTACCCCACTGACCCCTTAAGTGTTAGAAATGCATTTATAATATATACCTTCAGAACATATATAGAATAGTGTATTGCTGACACTGGTGATATTAAGCTATCTAGAAATAATTGAGTCATAGCACACACACACACACATACATGGTTGAAAGTATGAGCTAAGATTTAAACCTACAACCTAGAAATTATCAGCCATGTCTCAGCTTGACCCCCAGCATGCACACAAGCACACACACACCAATGGTTGAAAGTATGAGCTAAGATTTAAACCTACAAGCAAGAAATTACGCATGTCTCAGCTTGACCCCCAGCATGCACACAAGCACACACACACCAATGGTTGAAAGTATGAGCTAAGATTTAAACCTACAACCAAGAAATTATCAGCCATGTCTCAGCTTGACCCCCAGCATGCACACAAGCACACACACACCAATGGTTGAAAGTATGAGCTAAGATTTAAACCTACAACCAAGAAATTATCAGCCAAGTCACAGCTTGACCCAAGTCACACTGCTCTCGGGACCTCAGATAACTAGTAATCAGTCCTCCCTAATAGGGCATACAAACCTTTGAAAGGACAAAGTTTCCAAGCCACTTCACACAGTCCACATAGTTCCTGTGAATGTCCCGTGTTGAGAAGTCGGGGAAATGGTTGGAGACGGTCGGGAATGGACTGCAAAAAACATGTTTATTTTACAGGGATCAACCACATTCACCTGGGTCTTTCGATTTGTAAGTGATCGGGCTTATCAGGCATGCTTTTTACGTGTTTTTGGTCATGAAAATGGGGGTTCCAAGGGGAGACAACTGGACATGCAGGGTAAAATGTTATGGTGGCTAAATTTGAACTGCTCTAATAATTCAAACATACCTTAAGACTCGCAGTGAAAAATATTTGCATCCATCCTGAATTTTAGACAGATACTACGACACATGCTTTCCACCTGCTTAATCATGTTAACATGCCAAAATCTTTTGCTTACATTCTTAAATAAAACATTTCAAGAATTACTTAAGATAGAGACAATTTTTTAATGTTCGTGATTAATTCAGTCATGAATACATCACTGATATGTGACAGGTAGACGACACCAATAGAAAATTGTAACAGTCCACACAATATGTAGATCAGGTACAGTTTCATGAAATCAGGTCTTCCGCCATGATTCAATACCTGCCTGAGAAGGGTATGGAGTAAGACTGACTGACTGACAGAGTTTGGTTTTACGCCGCTCTTAGCAATATTCCAGCAACATCATGGCGGGGGACACCAGAAATGGGCTTCACACATTGTACCCAGGTTGTATGCTTTAACCACTAGGCTACCCCACCGCCCTATGGAGTAAGAACGAAAGATTTATATAAATTGGGACAGGTTGTACGTGTAACGTGACAATGATGGGAATGAAGTAGTCCTTTCTGATTTTCACTAGTCTCAGTAATAAGATAATGGTGTTCAGTTGTTTTTTGTTTGACCTGATGACTTAGTTTGCAGAAAAACATCACATGGTATTCACATGGCTGTCAATCCCTGTTTGGCATACATCAAAAGAGTGCACTGACTTACATGTTATTTTTGGCAGGGTTGTAAGTGTAGGATGCTAGGACTGCATCTCGGAACATCTCTGTGTCTATCTTCCACATCTTCAGGGAGTGGTCCATCCCACAAGACACGATGCGAGACCCGTCAATGTTGAAGTCCTGTAGAAGCAGCATCATACAAAAACAGATTATAACACCTGCATAAGTGTCATACAAACTATATTAAAGCACTCATTTACCACTGTTTCGTTCATAAAAACATCAGTGATTCATAAATTCTTACACAAGTTGTTTTAAATCATCTTAATATACATGCGAGGGCAATACTTTCTGAATTACACATTATTTCTAAATCCTTTTAAACTCCATTTTAAAAACATGTACTTGTCACAACAGCCCTAAAAAACCACAACTGTTGAATGACATCAGCTGTGATATATGATGTACTGACCGCGCTGAGCACCTCATCCCGATGTCCGTCGACACCGCCCAAGATCATGACACACAGATCAGTCTTGATGTTCCAGATACGTAGCGTGTGATCTGATAAGAAAAGACAAATTTATTTGTGAAACTGCTGGGGAATAATCATTACAAACAATATCCACACATGATAGCAAGGTGCTCCTTGTTCACAGTCCTGTTGGTAACTTAGGATTAGACTAGGTCCACAAGCCCTATCTTTGGACTGACTGACTGAGTTTGGTTTTCGCCGCTTTTAGCAATATTCCAGCAACATCACGGCGGGGGACACCTGAAATGGGCTTCACACATTGTACCCATGTGGGGATTCGAACCCGGGTCTTCGGCGTGACGAGCCAACGCTTTAACCACTAGGCTACCCCACCGCCCCCTATCTTTGGAGTAAGACTACACGTTTTCATGCATCAATGACATGGATTGTTTTCCAAGTCAAGACTTATTTATTCACAGGCTTCTGTGATACAGACGGAATGTTGCTGACAACCACAGAAATACTTCATGTTTGTTACACATAATCACAAAGTTCCTTTCACGATATCATGTACTTATATAATTATAACTGGCTGTATCTAGATCAAATAAACTTATAGCACTTCACATAATTACAAATTATTCATCATATTTCCAAATTTAACAAATGTTAAACATCAAATCAATATTGTCACCTTTACTGACAGACAGCAGTAGGTTGGGATCCCGAGGATGAAATTTCAATTCATTTACTGCATTTCCGTGACCTATAAAGTGCTGAAATGGAATCAGGTTTGCTGGTATATTGCATTGTCATCCAGGAAACAAACTAGCAATATTAAACAGGATAAGTATATGATTCACAGACAGAATAACCAATCAGATTCTTTTGGACAAAATATCCCAATTATCTCCCCTTGCCTACCTTGATACACTGCATGGCTAGTGGGCTGATGATCCGAACAATCCCTCGCAGACCGGCCGCCGCCAGCAGAGGCTGCCCCACCTCGTCGAAGGACCAAGCACAACAGTAGAAGTTTTCATCATTCTCACAGTCAAGGAAAACTAATACTGACTGCATCCAGATTGAACTTACATGACAGTAAAACTATTTTCCACTCTTCAAAGAAGCAGGCTCATGCTTGTTACATATATCATTCGGCTGACATCGCCAACTAGTCCAAAGTCTAAGATTTATTTGGTCTAGAAATCTCAGCCACAACAGTCTACATATTAGCATCAAAATCAACTGAAAATGATGTCAAGAGACAACTTAAGGCAAGTAGAAGTTTCGTTCTTCACCAGTCTTTATAAACTTCCAGTGAGGTCACTCTATTGTCTCGCCAGGTTCACCTTTTACCAAGTAAACCTCTACAGACAGTTTCGCGGACATTCTCCATGAAATCCCATGGATTTTCTACAGAATTGCCCGCATCCCGGGGATTTTCTGAGGAATAGCCCTTGTCTTTGAATTATTACTTGTTTTGAACATATTACTTGGTCTTGCTATCACTGAATACAATCGTAAAATACCACATAATTGAACACTTCCAATGTATAGTGCTGATACCTGGTTTCCAACCTGCAACCCATCGCTCTCTAGCTTGGCGGTTTTATCCACTAGGCTATGAAGGGTCTCCGTGAAGAATGAGATTGTTTGTCAGTATGAACCACATGTTCCTCAAGATGGGTTGTGTGGACAGCGCATGTGCAGGACACGGGTAGCGAGTGCAAGACAAGGTGTCAGACGCCAGTCCCATCCCAGTTGATTTCAATAGTAAATACCAAATATAAAATTATATCTAAAGTATATATCTTCGGTTGGTTCACAAGTTCAAAACCTCGTCCTTGGTTATGTTTGAAAAAGTAAGCCCTTGGCCTTGGGAAATCGGATCGGGCCTGTCGGCCCTCCCCAATTTCCCTCTGACGTGGGCTTACTTTTTCAAACAAAACCTCGGAGTCGGCTTTGAACCTTTACATATAGCCTTTTTCCAGTCTTTGTGTAAGCGCTCATTAGACTGAGATGTTTACAATGCAAGCTGGTTCTCCTTAGACACATTTCCAAGTATAGTTTTTCCCAGTTCCCAATTAGAAATTCACACTTGCCCATTTTTAGTAAGCAATGTATTTGATATATCTCCAGTAGCCATGAACTGTGTGAAGGATACTGCAGGATCTATGTATGCCTGAAGGACCTTCACCTTGCCATTATCCAGGCATTCGTATATGGTGACCTGGAACATAGCCAGGCATAGTTTGAATTCAACAGGAACATCTAGAATATATGGTAGAGAAGTGCTTCAAAGCCAAGGTTCATTAGCTATATATCCCTGAAAAAGTCTAAACTTGATTCCCAAACAACATGGGCTCAATATTCCTGAGAATAAGCGTCTCAGTTTACAGGTTGAAATTAACCTGTAGAGAACAACTGAGAGACCGGGCCGCTGAAGCTTTTCAATGGTGTTGTTTGACTGGCACTCTAGAAGTTGGTGAGTCTATACTTCAGCTATTGGCAATTTATTATTGTTCAATGGTATGTTATCAAATTCACTCCTAACTTTTAACATCAAAGAATTAACCAATATTGGCGTTTGATTTTTATCAAGAAAAATGTTCACAGCAGTGACAAGTCCAAAGTATTTCTAACCTTTATTAGTCATTTTACGATGATTTTCATCTAATCAAATTATGGCATACACTGATTAAATTTTGGTTATGAGAAACTAAAGAAAACCAATATAGCATTGATTCTTACCCTATTACAACCAGTTGTGGCAAACATGACAGGCTCTCCATCGCGGACATTCATGTTCACCTGAATACCAAATATTGGCTGACCATGGTCTTCCTGGAAAGGAAGGCGTCTTTCACATTAAAAATTGTAACATTCATGTAAAATGACACTCCAATTTGTTATACATCTTAAATTCCCCAAGAAGCCTGTGAATTAACTTGTAAGCTTGATTACAAACACAGCAGAAGAGTATCACATGTTAAGTATAAATCAATCATTAGGCCTTACGAGAGCTCTATGAGGTCAGAGTTAGTACACATTATCAGCCATCACATTTACGGCCTTTCAGTGGTATTTTCAAGGCCAAATCAACCATTTTAAGGAACTATAGATACACATATAACACATAGTTAGTTGAATACTACAAGGTTGGTGAAAAGTGGGACCAGTCATCAAAGGGAAACAACTCTAAGCTTCATTGCTTCACTGGGAAAGTTTTGCTGTGCGATTGAAATTAATTAACACCCACTATCATTGCTAGGTATTACTATGCATAATTATGTGTAAGTTCCCTGTAAAATCATAACCATGATAACTTGACAAGTTTTATCAAATAAAGGGCCTTTTGGGGCAAATCACTGGCAATTAGGGCCTTTTCATGGCTAAAAATGATTTTAGGGTCCTTTTATGGTAAAATGTTCAAATGTCAGGCTCTTGTCAACCCTAGAAATGTCTTTGACATTAAAACTACTTGCTTTGAGGAAGTTAGTACACTTGTACTGCAGCTTGCACTTCTTCCATCCCTTCTTCATCCTTCCGATACTCCCCATCCTTCGAGACACCAATGTGGGTGTGTCACTCCGCGACGACTCCTCTTCCTTGGTGCTTGTTGTGCTTGATATCTCGTCCTGTTCAAACACATGCAAACATGAAATTGACGAATGCTGTCTTTCAAAGGAATTTAGAAGCTGGACTGACATGAATACATGGATACTGTTTTCCAGGATGTCACTCTGCACTCCTAAAGATATCTGAGTGTACTCATGGGCATATAAGTGTGAAACAAGGACAGTTTTTATCAATTTTATTGATCGATATCAAGTTGTGGTATGTCTCTTAAATCAATTATTTACCATTTTTACAGTGAGTGAGTGAGTGCGTTTAGTTTTACGCTGCACTAAGCAATATTCCAGCTGTATGGCGGCGGTCTGTAAATAATCGAGTCTGGACCAGACAATCAAGTGATCAACAGCATGAGCATCGATCTGCGCAATTGGGAACCGATGACATGTGTCAACCAAGTCAGGAAGCCTGACCACCCGATCCCGTTAGTCGCCTCTTACGACAAGCATAGTCGCCTTTTGTGGCAAGCATGGGTTGCTGAAGACCTATTCTACCCCGGATCTTCACGTGTCCCATTTTTACAGACCATCATGACATGGCTAGAATATATTTCTGGCTGTGGCTGCGGCATATAGAAACACTTAAAATACAAAATAGAGATAAACTAAAATGATTTGTTAGAAGTTCTAAAGTGCATAAAAGCAGAGGTTGAGAACCAGTAAGGAATTCTGGGATATATCCATGGGAAACAAAATAACAAAAACATATAACAACACACAATAATGACAAGCTAAAATTCTTACCTTACATGTGTCCTTAAAATACTACACTTTGAAACTCTGTAAAGTGGTATTTAGGTAGATATAATACTATTCTTTCTATGGCATAAAACACCTTTGACATTTATGTTGCTTTTGACAGCCTGGGCCAAGTCAGACTGAAGACTTGTGATAAACAGAACTTAAGAAAGAGGGCTTCACTTTGAGCAACGTGTCTGCTTCAAATACTTTGCTTCGATACTTCTATTAAGTGGTAGTTAGGTAGATACAATTTTAGTCTATGGATTTAAACACAAATTCAGTTTACATTTCAGAGTTTTAAGTTGTTTTTGAAAGCCTGGGCCAAACACTTTTGATTCAGGCTATGTTGGGAATGAAAGGTGAAAGGGCTTAACTTTAACAGACCAGTTATCTTTACATGTTATGTATTGTGACATTACAAAGTGGTATTGAGGTATCAGGACAGACTCAAGTATTCATATCCTGTTTAGTTTAATAAATCCTCTTTTACAAGTAACCTGACTAAGCCACGTTCACGGGTTACTCGTCTTGCAGAGTTTTAAGTGATTTAATCGCAAAATTGTAACCTAATAATGCTGCCTGTTTATTGTTTGCGATTGCTCATTATTGTCATGTATATATGTTGTATTAATCAACTGAAGGCGTTGGCCCGACTTGGCCTGGTTTGCCCAACTTTGGGGCAATCTCGTACAATAACGCAATCAGCCAAGTGCTTGTTTTCCCATCACACCCACGTGTGGTGTGCTCAAGGTAACCTCGACTCACTCTAAACATGTTAGAAAATAGATAAAACTGTTACATTTTGTTTAATTTCGTCAGCCTGCAACCGTTACTAAAGGGCAGAATCAGAATACATGGGTAATGACATGGTGATCAGCTGGTAACACGGATGTTTTGATATCTGTCCCGCTTTGTAAATTGTGTTGTCAATCATCCAAATATATGCAGTTGATAAATGCTCATCAATAATCATCCCCTGCATAAGAAACCACATCTCCATTCAACACGTGGCAAAATATGGCTAGCTAACAGCTACAGAATCGTTCTGCACATTTTGTATTTTTCACATGGCTTGTAAATGGCTCAAAATTTCGCGGGAGATTGAACGTGACGAGATCCATGCATACTACGAACAGATCGATTTCAAATTCAGTTTACGAAAGTTCTTTGGAAGTATTTTATCATTCCTGTGTCCATTACCATTTCATCGCCAGATCCATCATTCTGAACTTGAGTGAACACACGTTGTTTTTTGGACAAAGGCGGTACACTTTCTTCGCTGTCCGACATTTTGAAACTGAGATCACGTGATTGTCACATGACTTGGCTCAGCTGGGACTTCCCATTTGTTTATACACTGTTAACAGCGTTTAATAAACAGACTGTTATTTCACAGTTTGCTATTTTGGGATGAAGATGAAGTACTTTGTCAATTATATTGAAAAATACGTCTGTCTTCTTTTTTTTTAACGCAGACAGGCAAATGGTGAGACAAAACTAGACCATTTTTTACTTTGCCTTTCTTGAACATATTGGCCAGACGTCGGCGGAAAGCCCGTCCCGATATATAGATTTGAGATATTTATCGATTTCGTGATCCCCTCACACACGAGCATGATCGATGCTTATAATTAAGCTGAGATACATCTGCTGGGTGCATGAATAATGAAGCATACGACTCTGTGGATACCAACTTCTAGAGTGAGTGAGTGAGTGAATCAAGATTTACGCCGCTTTTAGCAATATTCCACCAATATCATGGCAGGGGACACGAGAAATGAACACCAACTTCTATAATGCCGATCAAACGATCATCTGGGGCAATATGAGATTCGAACTTACTGTCATTAGTCTCTGGTAGGTACATTGTATTATCTGCCACTTTTACGTGGTGCTCACATTAGACTCCACTGTATCAGGGATAATCTACAGCACATACAGGACATGGGCGGATCCAGGAATTTTGAAGGGGTGGGGTGGGGTGGGGTCAGGGGTCCAAGTAGCTCGGTTTGCGTATATTTCCTCAAAACGGAGCTTTGTCCGCTACTACCTTAATTATTACCTTAAGCCTCAACTATTTCTGAATGTGTGAATGTCAAACGTCAATTAACAAAAACACCAAGCCAGTGTTTGTTGTTATGAACATATATATATTTAGATAAAAAAATCCATGTAAATCAACAGGTGTAATTATATATGCATTAATGTATCAATTTTGTTTTTCAAATATGCAAGTTTATTTATAGACTGGTAAGTTGTATAATATTCATTTTAGTTTCATATAAGTATAATTTGTTTTCATAGAGTTTTGTCATTATGTTTCTATATATTTGATTAGTTCCAAATACAAATACACGTAACAGAGAGGTATTCACATTTATGTTTTAAGCCATAATATATATGTTTACCAATCCATATTACTCTTGAATAAGAATATGTTCAAACACAGATGAAAACACATGCGTACATATGTGATGTCAATTAAATATTTGGTGCATCAGGTAAATCAAGCAGGATATTGATTCCTGAATGTGTACATCATTTGAATGTGTTTGTTTACAAATCCACTTTTGACATGAAGGCGGTGCCCCAACGAACTTCCATCCAATCAGATTGATACAACTGGCGAGTGCCCGTCGTGGCCGATACACGTCATTCACAGTCAATACCTAAAACAAAATAATGACATATATATTAGAACCATTAGCCATATGTATTACATGTGCTAGTCTGCACTATTTATTTTGAGTTATTTTTCTGATGCAAGATAATATTATCTACCAATCAGAACCGCCACAGTCCTTTCTCGCTGGAGGAACTTCCGGTATAGTCACGCAGCGGAAGCCGGTTTTCGGGATCAGCTTGGAGAGCGGACTATGTAACTTGCATCAGTTTAAGGAAAAATGTTAAGGACAGTGTTACTGCAGTTGATACACTGCTTGTTGGGACTTGGCATATTCTTGCGGCAGATCATTTTGCAACTTCCTCTTGCTTACAGCGTGTTGGGGAAGAAAACTGCTATCACGAAAATAAGATCTGATGCCAAAAGTTTGAAGAAATTACCTCTCCACGTGGGAGTGGTGGTCGTTGAAAATGAATATTCTTACTCCGATCTTGCCAACATTATTGTTTGGTCGGTGGCATTTGGTATCTCCTATATAAGTGTATATGATATAAATGGTAAGTATGACCCTGATTTCTTTCTGATCGTCTGTTGTCCTTTCCTAAGATTTTGCGTGTATCGATATGTGTCACGATATAAAGTCGTGGACAGACGATAGTGACAGTTATTGATAAACGATTTCTGACAGTCACCCACATTGTTTATTTAGACACTCGTGACCCCTGTCTAACTAACGAGTAAATCTTATGAATGATCAAAGTAATTTTAGGTCTTTATTGGTTAATCAGTCACTCATTAAGTGCCTGTTGCACATTGCTACCCTATTCTTTTTCTGCCATCAGCAAGCATATTGGTTCTATGTGCAATGTTAGCATGCCACTATTTTCTGTGTGGCAGACTGTATACATGTCACTTCGAGTCCATGTTTGATTCTCAAGCAGTGATTAATCTAGGAGCAAATCTTATTGGGGCATTTTGTTAATTTTGTCTCTTTATACTTGATAGGGTGTTCTCCTGTCATTACCACATTTGAAAAACATAATCATTTGGAAATGTTAGTCAGTGACCACGGTGACAGTCAGCAATCGTGACTGTCCTTTGCAAATATACTGATCTGAAATCCTTCCAAATACAATTGCATTGCACTACAATCTACCTTCTCTGGCACGTTATTGATTTAAATTTTCATTCAGGGTTGGTTTACAGCTGAAACACACTAACATATCAATGCTCAACCCACCTAGAGTTATTTGGCTGATATGTCAGAAGGATATTATCCTGGACCGCCTCCGTGGTGTAGTGGTTAGAGCGTCTGCCCGGAGATCGGAAGGTCGCGGGTTCGATCCCCGACCGCGTCATACCAAAAGATGTTACAATATGGTACTTGTTGGTCCCTGCCTGGCGCTCGGCATTAATGGTTACAAGGACAGGTCGGCATGGAGTCAGTGTAATGTGTCTGAGTGGGGTATTCATGCTTCACTGCGGCATGGTATCTCAGTGGGCTAGCACTATAAAACCAGCTTCAGTCTGGGCTAGTACAAGCAGCCGCACATACACATGCATGCATGTCGTCATATGAGCAAAATATTCTCAAGTACGACGTTAAGCCCAATTTCACCTCACCTCACATTCTCCTGATTTCAGCATATTTTGATATGACGTTCTTAATCATGTTAATATAAACTCACCAAGTTCGAAATTATTTTAAGGGCATTTTGGATGACTGTCACTCTCCTAGAAAATTCAGTTATCAAAAAACTTAGAGACCTCTCCTTCTAGGACAGAATTAAACATAAATACTCCTCACAAAAAGTTAAGCAACAAGTATTTTTTTCCACATATTTTCTTCATGGGTATATGAAGTTATTACTTGGCATATAAGCCATGCAGGAGAACCCTTTACGATTGATGAACTTAAAGCATTTCCCATATTGTTTTTCTGATAACATTGTTAGCACCGCCTGAACGCAACCACCCTCAAAACTCACATGCAAAATGCATGGAAAACATGTGCTATACACGCCGCACATGCGTTCTGATTGCGTTAAAACTGCCAGCAAGCGACAAATTGTTGACAGTAACATTTGAGAAATGGCTAGGCGTCACTTGACACCAATTGAAGTTGCTCAAATTGTTGGAATGGTGCAGGGGCAGACCCAGAGTGCTGTTGCCAACCATTTCAATGTTCATCGAAGCGTCATCTCCAGAAGCGATCACTTTCGTCACCAACAGACCCGGATTGATGACTGAGAGACCGCGCTCAGGTCGTCCCAAGGGTGACAACTCCCAGAGAGGACCGATGCTTGGCCACCCTAGCCGGCGGAACAGGTTCACCACAGCCAGATCTCTCCAGAATGACCTCCAGAGAGTTGCTGGGAACAGAATCTCCACACAGACAGTGAGGAACAGACTCCATGCTGAAGGTCTCAGGTCGAAGACCAGTGCAAGCGTATCCCACTGCCTGCACACCATCGTCAACAGAGACTGAATTGGGCTAACCAAGCGGCGTAACTGGAGAGTCAATCGCTGGCGTAATGTTCTCTTCACAGATGAGTCAAGATTCTGTCTGGACTTCAATGATGGTAGGGCTCGTGTGTGGAGAAACCGTGAATGGCGAGCGATACGCCAACTGTAATGCGATTGCTGAACATGATCAGTATGGAGGTGGGAGTTTGATGATCTGGGCAGGAATCCAAGTTGGACTGACGAACTGATCTTGTGGTCATCAGGCGAGGTACCATGACAGGTGTGAGTGGTACCGAGACGCAGAATTGTCACACCTGTGATCATTCCGTGGGCTCAGCAAGCAGGTCCTAACTTCATCTTCATGGATGACAATGCCCGTCCACATCGAGCAAGAGTTGTCACTGATGTTCTTCAGACCAACAACATCACCCATATGGACTGGCCTGCAAGGTCTCCTGACCTGAATCCTATTGAACATGCTTGGGACATCCTCGAAGGCGTGTGTCACGGCCTCCACGTTAGATCCTCAGACTCTGGATCAGCTTGAACAGGCATTCGCGGAGAGAATGGCAGAACATTCCACAACAGACTCTAGACAGACTCATCTGGTCAATGCCTAGAGCGTCTTGAAGCGTGTATTCAGGTCAATGGTGGCCATACTGCGTTATTAAACTTTGGATCAGTGCTCAAAACTGACAGTAAAAGTGTTTTCAGACATTTTCATACCCTGATGCAACACATTTTGCACGGCTTTTTCAGTGACACTGTTTTTGATGATTTGCAAGTCAGTTATTGTTCAATGAATTTTGATTTCTTTGTTGGAAAAGTGTGTGGATATGCTTTATCTTTGTTATGTTTGATTCAGTTGTAATGATCATGAGTAAAGGCATATGTACTGACCAAAAATACACTTGTTGCTTAATTTTTTGTGAGGAGTATATGTGAAAACCAGGGATGGAAGTTCAACTTTGTTGACTTTGTTTTTGCTTTTGGTGACATTTTGATGTAAATTCATTCACTGTTTCAAGCTTGAGTGGATAATAGTGTCATAATGTACAATGACCAGTCACCAGAAGTTCTGGTCCCCAACGCTGTATGTTGTCTCTAAATCAAATGTCATTACAGCAACTTTTATATTGTGTAGTACATATTCTTTGTGTATGGTTCTTACAGTTTCTAAAGTGGTAAATTGGCATATTCTGACAACCAAATGTGCAAGAATTACTCCACTTATACCATGTTATTCATGCTATCAGTGTATGAAATAAGCCAAAAACCCAGCCAGACATCAGGGCTGGTAACTTCAAAATGTTACCAGCCCAAAATGGATTTAACCAGACCAGACACCAAGATATGGTGAATTTACTCAGATGCATGGCATATCTAAATCTTTTACAAGACCATCGGGCTGGCTAGCTATAAATTTAGACCGTCCACCAGAAATCTAGCCCATATTGGGCGTTCGGACGGGCCTTATTTCATACACTGATGCTATCATGTTTGTTACGTACATTGACATCCAATATTGATGTTGAAAATATGCTCTTTTCAAATGATCATAATTGTATGTATTCCAATAATAGTTGTTTGTTTTTCAGGCGAAATAAAAAGAAATAGTTTTTTACTCCAGTCTGAAGTACAGAAGAGCAAAGAGCACATCTTAGCTTCAGATCAGAATAAGTTTGATATTGATTTCCATTCCAAGAGCAGCTCAGAGAAAAAAGATGGAGGTGAGATTTACATGAGCTATGACCAGAAGTATTAAATTACTAATTACAATGATACTTATAATTACACTGCTCCTTCAGTTTCAACACAAATTGAAATTGAGACTATTATGACCATTCCCTGCCAAAAGAACAGGGTTGACACAATACAGAAGCCTCGGTACACTGGTCATGGGACCCCTGAAGACCCAGTTAGAATGGGTCTTTGCCAATCTCCTGGTGTTAGTTTTAAGGGTTAATCCACAAGTGGCCCAGTTGCTGGTGCACTAACTCACTCTACAGAATATAGAATGTTAATCCCCTTGCCTGTGCCAGGATCTGCTGATGGGGGTTTTCAATACCTGATTCCCCCTTATAATGAGTGCTAGTTAGTAAGTTACCAAAGTGGTGTAGGAGGCTTTCTTTCTCCGATAAGCTGACACTATGGCGTACAGCTGAAATACTTGGAAGGCTGCATTAACACCTCACTCACTCAAAATTGTTGATATCATGTGCTTCTACTTGACATGCTGAATGTATGATGTGGATCTTCACTATTAACCGGGGCACAAAGTAGTTCAGTTGTCTTTGAGTGCAGTTTGCTTTGCAGAGTTACAGCCCTTGGGCATGCCAGAGATTTATGATAGTCTGTTTCAACTGTTGTTGATCACTGGATTGTCTGGTCCAGACTCGATTATTTACAGACTGCCGCCATATAGCTGGAATATTGCTGAGTGCAGCATAAAACTTAACTTAACTCAACTCACTCACTGTTTCAACTGTAGTTCAGACAGTTATGTTTCTATGTTTGTCAACACCTTACCTGTCGTGACGTGTCGTCAATGGTTTTACCAAAGTGGTCTTTCCTCCCACAGTGCGTTGACATGCCATATTGCCATGGAATACTGTTAAAAGTATCAATATATCCACCTAACTCACTTGCTGGAAAAAACGGAAAACAAAAAATTCCCATTATAAACCAACATCCAAATGTCTAAATCCATAATCATGATAACATGAATCATCAGATTAAAATAATTATAACTCTGACATTTGATCATGTTGATAGCAGTATAGTTTTACCATGTCCATGTCCTACATAAATACTGATATCACATGGGCACAGTGAATGACTATTGGGCCTGTTTCCACTGCTGTAGTACAGTGTTCACGAATAGCGTCTGACACTCTGACAAATCCGGCAGATTCGCCAACGGTCCGATAGAAGTCTACAACCTGCCAGTCCCAGTGTCTGACTGTATATTTCACAATGATTTTGACCGAAGTTGTTATATGTGACATGTGACACTTGTTTGCTGTTAATAAATCTTATGTTTGTTAATAATTTCAATGCCAATTATAAGAAATGTTAAATCTGAAATGTGTGTTTAATTTTATTCTATGGGTCCTGTGAATTTTCAGTGGGTCAGACAGACATCTGAAACTTACAGGACCCAATGTCCTGTTACTTTGAAACACCATTCGTGAACACTGGTAGTATTGCAATAGTACACCACACTATTGAGCCAATACTCACATGATACTGTGATAGTGTGATACTGTGATAGTGTACATTATATATATCAAATGTGAGTCCTGATGGACATGTGATAAAGTTTGCACTTTTTAAGTGATGCTGCCCCAGCTGTTGCAGTGTTGGGTTTATTTTGTTGACATGATGTTTTAATCAACAACAAAATGTAAATGTTGATACTGTCACTTGTTGGCACAATGTTCTAATCAACAACAAATGTAAATGTTGGTACTGGCGCCTGTCTTTGCCACATGCAAGTTTTTCATAATGTACCTCTGTGGCATATCAATGTTGAAATGACATGATAACCAAGATCTTCAACAAAATGACAAATAATGTTCTTTGGATAGTTCTTTAGGTTAGCAACGGTAAGGCCTAATGAACGTAATGTGATGTAACATTCTGGTGACTCCCAGTTATGGTTAGTATCCAGTAACTGTGCTAACCTGATTGTCGTAATATTCAATTAAATTAAACATGCACCCATCTTGGCTAGTCTGTAAGTATGAATCCATGTAAGCATGATAAGCATCCAGAACTTTTCAAAAGAGGCCCATATTTTCTTGTGAATTGTACAGATTTCTTCTCAGAAAATGGAAGTGTAAATGGGTGTCTAGATAATTACAAAGTCACAATTCTCAAAACGTTTTTGTTTCATTTATATTTGAACGAAGTCTGTTCTCTTCTGTACCAGTTGATCTCTGAAAACAAATTTAACTTGTTTGCATGCTTTTTACAAATCAAATGGCTCCCCACCCTTTGTTAGTTTCTATGGGGGGGTTATTACTGGGAATATAGTAACAGGTAGTCCTGGTCATTGTGCTCTAATGGTATGTTCATCATTTGCTATACAAAGTTGCGTCCCTTGGTCATGCCAGGAACCTATGATTGTGAGTTTGAATCCCGGTTGTCAGGATTATGCGTCCAGGTTTCTAGGCACTATTCTGATGTGTTTCACAAAAGTGGTGAATGTCAAAGACCACATTACATTATCATTACTTTGATCATGTTGATGCTGACATGTCTTGATAACACGGGGCGGTGGGGTAGCCTACTGGTTAAAGCTTTCAGTAGTCACGCCAAAGGCCAGGGTTCGATTCCCGACATGGGTACAATGTATAAAGCCCATGTCTGGTGTCCTCCAAGATGATGTTGTTGGAATATTGCTAGAAGTGGTGTAAAAATAAACTCACTCACTCCTGATAACGCGGCAATACTGTTCAAAGTGGCATAAAACCCAACTCACTTGCATAGTCGATTCAGTTGCTGTTCATGCTTTCAGTCATTGGTTTGCATGTCATGAGCTGATTATTTACAGCCATCATGATATGGCTTAAATACTTGTAGACTATAGCATACTTGTCCAGGGCTCCAGATAATTTTTCAACATCAGGAGTACGTACTCCTTATTTTTTCAATATAGGAGTACTGGATAAACGAAAGAGTACATTTTGAGTACTGAATGGAATTTAATGGCGTATCAGTAATCCTGTGTTTCGTTTCATATATGCACCACAACATTGCTACTCTTGTGTAAACAGGTCAATAAACAATAAAACAACACTCTTTCAGATAAATACGTCTGTAAATGATTCCAAGACCGTACAGCATTGCTGTGGTGCTTATGTGCCACGTTTTCTAAATTATTTCCTACCATATCGTGCATATGTTTTATCCGTACATACGCCGATACGGCCCTTATCTGGAGTCCCGCTTGTCCCTCCTCATCATACGGCTATATTAATGTCAGATTCATGGAAACCCACCCAAATTTTGATAGATGGGGTTTAATTTGTGCAAGTGCTTTGAAATATTCTATTCTCCTCACTGCATCATCACTGTTGCTTTACACTACTTTGAAGAAGATAAATGGTCATCCATCAACAAATTAATAAAATCAATAACCCAGCATATTCAGTTTCCAGAGTCTGCAGCTGTATCTGTCTCTTTCAGGCTGTTCAAATATCAAGCAGATACGAGTGCGGCTTCTCTCCCTCAATGATGGTCGACAGAACCTGGTGGAGATGACGCAGTCACTTAGTAAACTAGTGGCAGGGCACAAGTACCGATTGGAAGACATTATGCCTAGTACTGTGGATGCATTGCTACAAGGTAAGAGACTTTGCCTTAGGTTTATCATATACTGAGACCGATTTCTGGTGTCCTCGTCTTGATATTGCTGAAATGTTGCTAAAAAGTAAGAATAAATTTGTGCTCACAAATTAACACACATGTTTATTGACGTATATAGCCCCAGTACCGTGGATGCAATGCTACAAGGTAATGCATAGAAGTGGTGTAACAATACAACGATGCATAAAATACATTACATTTACAACCATTGTATTGTGATACTTATGATGCAATACATAAGTGTTGGGAATTGGTTAAAATCTCATAATTGATGATTGCTTCATTACAACCGATCAATCATCGAAAATAATTGGTTAGTTTATTTATGAAATTTGTTAATGCACAAAAAAAAAATCAGGAACAAACATGTAGGTCTTTGGGGGTTTTGTGGCAAAATTTCATATCTTTAAAGGATGACAAGTATGTTACGAACATAAATTTCTTGGAGTCTTGAAGATAAATTCAATCATGACTTATGAATACAGTGCTTATGAAATGTAACAGACAAAACCAGCCTTGTGAAATATTTTGTTAATGAAAACAAGTGTTCCAGAATTGTTTGTGTTCGATTATGAGAAAACATGATCGATTGCTTGGTCGTTTAGTCACTGCGACCAATCTTCGATTATTTCAATTAATCGGACCACCACTACAATACATTACATTGCTTTGTTTAGGAGTGTATCAGTTATTGTGAGCTGTGATTCGGATCAAAAGTTCATAATGTGGGAGCGACTGACTGACTTTGATGCGTATCTGCTGCAGATATTGATGAGGATAGAACATACCCCCTTTACTCACCAGATTGATACTCTAAGCATGGCAGGGATTTTTCTAACCTGGCACGCATATTAAGGAGAAATCAGATGTTATGTAATGTTTACATTTTCTAAATTCAGAGGTATTTTAACCTTGAAATTTAACATTCCATTCAATGCAATAATGATAAACTAAGCATTACTCCCTTTTCTCTATGGGGTAGCCTAGTGGTTAAAGTGTTTACTTGTCGCACCGAAGACCCGGGTTCGATTCCCCACATAGGTACAATGTGTGAAACCCATTTCTGGTGTCCTGCTGCTGTGTGATATTGCTGGAATATTGCTAAAAGTGGCGTAAAACTAAACTCACTCACTCTTTCTCTATTTAATGGTACATTGTTCTTGTCATCAGTGAAATACAGGTCTCCTTACACTGCTTACAAAGCCCCAACATTAGTTCCTGCTAAGGGTGGTATATTGCAATTCAAACTTCACAATACGATATATTGTCGTACATTTTTCGTGAACCGGGTCACCCGATATGATGGGCAATTTCCGTGATCATGATCGGTAATTTTCGTGACGTAGTCAAAAATATGATTAAGATTTGTATATCCTTTATATTATTATGCATTGATAGTTTTGAGAATAAGAGAATAGCTTATTGGTCATATAATTGCATTTGCGTGACTTTTAAACCATATAAATAAATAGAAAATAGATTGGTACGCATACTCGTTGTAGGGCTAAACAATTTAGAACAATCTCTTGTACAATCACATCTGAGTCCTGACAGTGGTCAGTGGCATTGTTTCAAAAGAAAGGAACAGTCATTTTATTACCCTGAACCATGTGTTACACTTTCACAATATATTGCAATACATATTGCAATATGCCAACACATATCACGATATATCGCAATACGAAAATTTTGGCAATACCCAACCCTAGTTCCAACTATAACCATGCTGCAGACTTGGTGGGGATATCAGCCACTAAGCACCTGTAGGTAGATACCTGCGTGGTGAGGAGATAGTTAGTATCAACATGTTCATGTTTTTGTTGCAGATGCCCACAAGTTCCCAGATCCTGACCTGGTGTTAAGGTGTGGGCCAGTAGATGCACTGTTGGGATATTTACCATGGGAAATCCGGCTTAAGTGAAATATTGTAAGTTCTTGAGGGTTTTATCATGTTTGTTGACAGGATGTAATTATTTATATATCAGTTAAGGATCATCCGACGCTAGTTTTAAAAAAGCAAACTTTCATTCTTTCATTGTGCCATTTAATACTGACAAGGAAGAGAATAGAGAACTTTCCTCTGATCCACAGATTTCATAGCATCTGGGGTAAATGTTGTGATTCATGTTTTTTCATAATGTGCATGATACATGCCAAAATATTTGTCCCAAAGATTCTCACCCCACTTCCAAAAAGCCATTCTCATACCCCTCATTGGTCATGCTGAAATAATTCTTATGCTGCTTATTGTTTGGTTTGTGTTGTGATATGTTTTGTGATCAATATGTTTTTACATCATTTCTGGTGTCCTACACCATGATATTGCGGAGCTAAAAGCATTGTGAAATCACACATACTTTCATTTAATAAAAATAATGATGTGTGTAGTATATATTTGGCTATTGTCCATGCTCAAAGCTGTAACATTATTATACTGTTTAATGGATCATTCTGCACTCAGTAGGAGTATAGAGGAGGCTCTGGAAGTTAGCAGTCCAATAGCCTTGTGGTTAGCCTTGTGGTTTGCTTTGCGTCAAGCTGAGGACCCGAGTTAGATTCACCATTTCTGGTGTCCCCCACCATGATATTGCTGGAATATTGCTAAAAGCGGCGTAAAACTAAACTCATTCATTTACCCTCTAGGTACCCAGGTTTGAACTGACATACCGTTATATGAAATATATAAAATACCTTTAACGAGTGTCAGTAACCCTTGTTAACCAAGACTGTGTCCCCATCCGTGTTTCAGATCTATATCATCACATTGGAACATTAGCTACCAGAATTACCTGTCGCTGGTATCAGCATACGGGGACACAGATCAGCGGTTCAGGAAATAGCTCCACCGTCCTCCATCCTCCTCCACAGCTCAGCATGACACTCACTCACTCATTCACTAGTCTTCTGTAGAAGTAGGCAGGGCCTGGTGTACCACGCCTTGACGATGTACCCAGAGTCAACCGACAGCTGATTCCTGCAACATGTAGATGTCATAAGTTGGATTGCCGTCATCTAGTTTAGTCGAGAAATTGAAATGCTGATTTGATGTACAAAAATTACTTTCATTTGTAATATTTCATTTATTCTCATGTTGAAGAAGTGTTCACCATGCTCACCAGTACTCTGACAAAGACAGTCTTCTTTACAGTAACAATGCAGGGGTATGTTCTAGGTTTGTTTGGGATGAGGAAAGTAGCATGATTTTATCAATTAATGAGACAAACTGTAATAATTGATTAATAAGTTTAATATGAAAATGTAGGATATTCCATTTAGTACAGCTGTCATTGATTACAAGGTCAGTATATTTTCCTTCAGAGTGACAGCTGGTGACTGGATCTGTAGTCCAGCTGAGGTTGTGTGTGAGTTAATTCACTTGCAAATGTTGGCTGAATCTACAAACACTAGGGTGATTTTTATATTCAGTTTATGCTAACTACAGCATGTTAATATATTTAATTACTTATTAACTAACATTTCTTAGTTGTTAATTTTTATGTTTATTTTTTTCCAAATTTTATTCCTTGTTCAATACTTTAGAAAATATCCCAGAATTACTTCTACATTTGATATTGGAAAAAAACCAGAATTTCTTTATGCCATGTGACTTTGTGCAATGTGTATAAAAGGTCTATATATCTACTTACACCAAGTGTAGTGTCATAACTGCTGTGTGGTTGATTCTGGTTGGTTAGCCCAGTGGGTGAAGTATTTGCCTGTTTCTCCTGAAGACACAGGTTTGATTCTACACATAGGTACACTATGAAGATCAATCTTGGTGTCTCCAGTCATAATATGGCTGAAATACTTCTTAATAGTATATACCCACACTCTCAATCATTTGCAGAATGACACAACTTTAATTTTTCTTTGGTGCATGATACAGGGAATGTTTCAAGGGAATTACTTATATTTAATCCCAAAAATGGAGCCATATAGTTGATGACGGGGAGATGGAATTTTGCTCCTCTGAACCCTGTGCTCTTTTTCTTAAGCAATATGCAACAATTTGGGGGAAAATCTGGGTTTTTTTATGTATAAAACAATTAGGTATTTCAGATCTACACTAATGCTTTCCGTCTAGTGTAAATATGGACGACCAGACTCCCAGTAACTGATATTTCTCATCTCTGTTGGTGAATGGTGCAGTGGGCATTTTCTTCAGAAGTCAGACAGACCGAGAGAAATGAAGATTTTTCCTGTCTTTCCTTGTGCTGATGATGCATAAACATCAAACATTATGTTGTCTGTTTACATTTATCAAATAATGTTTACAGAATTAATTGAATCAAACTTCAATGAACATATATCCAAGCGTTCTTCCCGTTGCATATCATTGACTTTGGCCCAGACTGCTGGACTAAGAATCATGATAATAATCTCATCCATGTGTTCCTGTGTATTTGTAGGATATCTGAATATTGAGAATGTGAGCGTCTGTACTGCAATCATGTCTGTTATCAACAGTTCCGTTTATTGTTTTAGATATCAGCCTTTGACTTGTTTCCAGTTTTGATCATTAGAAGTCAGGTTTATATGCAAATCTGTTCAAACACTCAAACACTCACCTTAGCGTCTTGACTCGTGTACTTCGCCATTCATGGCTTACACAGTACTCTTAAATGCAGCCATCCACTGTAATTGTTTCCCTTTGCTGTGCAAGGATCTGCTATTTGTGGAACTGGTATGCCTTAATTGTGAACCATGATTTGTTGGCACCCTGTGGGTAGATGACATGTCACAAACTGACAGAACATGAGACCGAGATACTGTTCTGAACGATGTTAAGCCTCCTGCCACACAAACAGTACTGCATCTCCTTTAGGTGAATCTAAGCACAGATTGTCTTTATGGAGTCACCACAACCCCTCAAGTTGTTTAAGGCACTGCTATTCTGAGTGCAGACACCAGAAATCTATGATTGTGGGTTCAAATCCTGGGCCGAGATTTTCGAAGCTCTCTTAGCGCTAAGATAGTCGTAAGTTAATGTTAATGTATGGCACTTACGAGTATCTTAGCGCTAAGATAGTTGTAAGTTAATGTTAATGTATGGCACTTACGACTATCTTAGCTCTAAGATAGTCGTAAGTTAATGTTAATGTATGGCACTTACGACTATCTTAGAGCTAAGAGAGCTTAAAAAATCTAGGCCATGGTTCATTCCAGCTGTCAGCACCTTGCCCATGCTCTTGGCTTTTTAACAAGTGGTCAACAGCTGAGATCTGGATCACTTTGGGTTTTCCTCTTACAATTTTCTGACACATCGTGACATAACTGGAATACTGTTCAAAGTGGTCTTAAGCCCCTCATTCTCATTTCCTTAGAGTAACTTATATATCATGAAAATGAAACATCATCTTTTGTGTAAATTGAACTACTAAGAAATTTTTCATGAAGAAACATGACAAATGACTGGGATTTTTCTTCTTTGGTTGTGTAATATATAATATACCAAGCAATAATACAATGGGGAATAGCAGCAAGATGTTTCTCAGGATTTGTTTTCTGTGTTACTATGTTCAAGGGTCTGTCTCATATCCTGACTCTTGTCTCTTAGGTTAATTATCCCCCTCAATGTTAACCATGTTAACTAGGAGCAAATCAGATTTATGGTACATAAGGTTGAGTTACATTGATGAGACTGACCTATCTGAAAAACTTGGTATCATTATCCGATAAATATGCAAACAAGGCTGCCTAACAGGAACTGCTCTTCAAGCACTATGCATCAGTAGAAGGCCTGCTTTCTCAAATCATCGATTGGGCGGTGGGGTAGCCTAGTGGTTAAAGCGTTGGCGCGTCACGCCAAAGACCCGGGTTTGAATCCCCACATGGGTACAATGTGTGAAGCCCATTTCCCCCCGCCGTGATATTGCTGGAATATTGCTAAAAGTCAAACTCAGTCAGTCAAATCATCGACTAACATTCCTAATATGCTCAGATATGGATTTCACCAAAACATAGCGACAAACATAGCAGCAAGTTATTTGCCACTATGTGATGTATTCACTCATTTGTAGTCATATGGGATTTCTGAAGTTACTGCATTGAGTGATATTACATTTTCAACATCCATTGATTTAAATATGGCATTATGATAAAGAGTTTATTACCTCCCTGTATTTCTGTATTAAAAAATATACTAGGAATATAAATCATACTGTTTGGGCATGTAGAAATATTGAAACACACTCTGCTAATCTTAATGCACCTGGTATGTTATACTATTGTAGCAATATGACTGCTTAAACACCCTCAGTATAGCAGCGGTTTGTAGTAGCCATAGTAACTCGGTGCAAGTGGGGCTGGTGTAAGAAGGTTCAGTTATAAATAGATTAGTAGCCGAGTGTTAATTAGGGAGCAACTATTTACTATTCATCAGCACAGGCGATTGATTGCGATTTTGATCAGAGAAAGGATAATTTTTGGGGTTCAATAATTTGAGAGGAAAATATTGCAAGGGGAACCAGACTGAATTTTTGGAACCACTGACAATTGCATTTGGGTTTTGGCTTTGGAGTATTAAACCTGAAATGGAAAGTTTAAATGATTAGTCCATGGATTATTATGAGCACCTGTTTTACTGTATTACACAGTCAACATGATCAGTATGGCAGCTTTAAGGAATGGGTTTGCAGGGCTTGATTTAGTGCTTTGTTACTTGCACTGGTGCAACGCAATATTACAAAGTGCAACCTAGTTATGAGTCTTAACTTGCACAAGGTGCAAGTCAATTTTTGAGAAATATATCAACAATAAATCTAACATTATAAGCTTAAATATGTCAGTTCATTTTTCTTCTTAATCTTTGAATAGCTATGGCACTGAAATATTGCAATTCATATACACGTTTCGGCTATGACAGCTCTTGTAAACAGGGATCAGCTGTGTCTCTGTGTTGCTATGGTTTCATAGGTACTACATCAAGGAAATATGTTTATGTGCACGAAACCTCTGACGTTTTAACACACTCACGTTGCAACTGGAATTTGGCTGGTGCAACTAGCTTTTATCTTAGTGGCACTTTGGTGCAAGTAGGTTAACCTCTCTTAAATCGAGCCCTGGTTTGTATGATGATGCATGCGAGATTGGTCTAGTCCCTGTTATCATCCCTGGTTTGTTGTCCTACTGCATGTGATATATGTGAATATGGTGATATATGTGATGGTATTTGACTAGTTGACTTGGGTACTGAGTACCACAGGGTTTGTAGTGTGAGATGAAATAATAATAATTGATTTCATAAACTGTACCATATTTCTTCTTTTTATAAATGCTTTCAAACCCGGATAGATGCCAGGTGCTAATTGGAAACGACCAAATGTTTCAACTACAGGGTTGCATGAGCTTCAGTGTCTAAAAAGTTTACATTCAACTGAATTCTGTGTCCTTGAGGTGATTAAGCAATAGAGACAGGAAGTGCCAAAACGGGACCTTTTGCCTCTAAGCTTTTGTTTTTTCCAGGGTGAAGTGATATTAATTTTACCTAGAGCTTGTGTGAGACTTGGTGCTTATTGTATTGTGCTATACTGGAGATGCTTATCAAAGGCTTTGTGCTCAGGAGGATGTACACTATGATATAGAATTCAATCATCCCTTGATTGTCGAGGTGTTAGATCTTCATTCTGTTATATAAAGAGTGTGTGGTAGCCTAGTGGTTAAAGCGTTGGCAGCGTCACGCGCCAAAACCGGGTTTGAATCCCCACATGGGTACAATGTGAAGCCCATTTCCCCTTCCGTGATATTGCTGGAATATTGCTAAAAGTCAAACTCAGTCAGTCAAATCATCGACTAACATTCCTAATATGCTCAGATATGGATTTCACCAAAACATGGCGACAAACATAGCAGCAAGGTATTTGCCACTGTGTGATGTATTCACTCATTTGTAGTCATATGGGATATCTGAAGTTACTCCATTGAGTGATATTACATTTTCAACATCCATTGATTTAAATATGACATTATGATAAAGAGTTTATTACCTCCCTGTATTTCCGTATTATAAACATTTACTAGGAATATAAATCATACTGTTTGGGCATGTAGAAATATTTAAACACACTCTGCTAATCTTAATGCACCTGGTATGTTATACTATTGTAGCAATATGACTGCTTAAACACCCTCAGTATAGCAGCGGTTTGTAGTAGCCATAGTAACTCGGTGCAAGTGGGGCTGGTGTAAGAAGGTTCAGTTATAAATAGATTAGTAGCCGAGTGTTAATTAGGGAGCAACTATTTACTATTCATCAGCACAGGCGATTGATTGCGATTTTGATCAGAGAAAGGATAATTTTGGGGTTCAATAATTTGAGAGGAAAATATTGCAAGGGGGAACCAGACTGAATTTTTGGAACCACTGACAATTGCATTGGGGTTTTGGCTTGGAGTATTAAACCTGAAATGGAAAGTTTAAATGATTAGTCCATGGATTATTATGAGCACCTGTTTTACTGTATTACACAGTCAACATGATCAGTATGGCAGCTTTAAGGAATGGGTTTGCAGGGCTTGATTTAGTGCTTTGTTACTTGCACTGGTGCAACGCAATATTACAAAGTGCAACCTAGTTA